ATCAACAACAACAGCACAATAGTAGCAGCAACAATAGTAACACACGACACCAACAACATCAATACAAGAAGAAAAAAAATTGAAGAAAAAACGAAGAATAAAGTACATATAAGTTTTTAAGAACCAAGACTAGGGCATAAGAATAATCGTGCTGATAACTTATTGAGAATGTTTTCAGAGAGAGAGACAAGAATAGTTAGAAGTAATATGCATACATATGTAAACACACACATACACAAGAAGTGAGTTTATTAATAGGGTTATATCTCTTACACAAAGAAAAGTGGAGAAGATAAACAGTTTCTCTCCACTACATTCCAAACATTATAGCTATAGTAAATACTATAGACCACAGTAAATAATATACAGAGCATCAGCTACATTTAATGCTCTCAACAACGTCCATGTTCTATTTAACCTTTTGAGAAGTGTTGACTTGTGTTGAGGATTGACTTCAAACTTATTGGAGGTAAATTTTCACAAAAATTGTCTATATTCTATAAGACCCATCCAAATAGTTTTTTCTGGCATGATAGCCAGGCTATATTTTGGATTCATAGATAAATTTATTTTGTTGAATTCACATTGTCCAAATGCACAACCGACGTAGTGAGAATTTTTTGAAACCAGTAGATGAAGACTGGGCAAAAACTGTCTGTTTCCAGTTAAACCCTTAGCAAGGGCCCCATTTTAAAAAAATATATAAATAATTTTTTTTAAGGCTCGACGGATACATCCCATTTTCGATAAAGCACCTCAATCTTCGCTTTCATTTAAAGATGGAAATGACAGGTGGAAGACTGCAAGCTCGTACATCACCGAGATTGCAGCAAACGGTGACGCACCCTCAAGTCTTATCCATTACCCAATTGTTCCACACAGATTCAATCAATGAGACATGGCATGGCTAGTAATGCAATCTACACAGAAAGCTCGACACCAATCAAACAATCCCAAGCCATTTTTTTCTGTGGTTGAAACTCCCTTTCGATCCAGAGATTTTGCCGCTTGGCTGGTGACCCTTCATGCTCTTCGGAAGCACTGCAACAACAACAACAACAACAACCTGTCAGATGATGTTCACAAGAGGAATTTAACACTTGGGGTTCAAGGTGCTGCAATACGTGGACATCTGCTAGATAGATCTCACTCGGAAGATCCACATGAAATCGTTGGCATGCTTTAAAATTTGCGTCGCATGTGGGTTGATTCTGCATCTACAGGACTGAGCTCGACAGAGCAACCTGAGTTTGGGCACTGCACAGACAGACAGATCAGTGACTTGTTAATCAACAACCCCAAGTCAGTGTTTTTCTGTTGTTTTTGTTGTTGTTGATTCGCACACATTCCAAGACGGTTTCTATGAAAGAATGAACTAAAATTAGGAGGGAATTGTTCAAAACAACTTGAGAGGAGGTTTGATGGAGGATGATTCCAAAAAGCTAGACATGATGAATTTGAAGAGTCATTTGTGCATTGAAGATGGATGGGCAAGCCCACTTTTTGATTGTGGGCAGTGGTTTCCAGCATTGCCCGCAATGGCTTTTCGTTGGTGGAGCGCCTCTAGGGTTGTGTCATTACCTCCCAATAATCTGGCTTTTTCTTTTACTATTTTTGTGCTGGTACCCATTAGTTTAGGGATTTTATAGTTGAGATTTGAACCATTAAGTATTAAAGGAGTTCTTATATTTAAAAGTCCACTTTGAAAGATCATTGTATAAAAGTCTTACAAAGTTCTCTTGCTTGGTGAAAAAAATATATATATATATTAAAGTCATGAAATGAATCAATTTAGCTTTTTATTATTAAAATTTTATTCCTAAATATGTCAAATTAGATCTTAATTTTAACGATTTTGACAGTTATATTAATATGTTATTTGATATATATATATATATATATATGCATCTATGAAATTTTGTAACAATTTTTAACATAATTTCTTGATTCTATGTAAAGATCATTTTTAAGGTGGATCATTGCAAATTTTGGAAAATAACATTGTTTACACCATGAAAGAAAGAAAGAAAGAAAAACAAAACAATGCATTCTACCTCATATTTTATCTTATGAGATTTTGATTGTGTTTTTGTTTGTTTGTTTATTTGTTTGTTTGTTTGTTTGTTTGTTTGTTTTTTTTTTTTTAAGTATAAAAACAACAAAATGATGTTTCTTCATTTCAACCAATCACAAGCTTTGAAAGTTGTGGCTTCTTGACTTCTTCCTTAAACAAAAAGATTCTCTACTTACAAACTTTTGGTAGTTTAAGATCTATGCAGACTATCTAATTTGATGTTTTTATTAGGTAATCTAAACTTTGTAATTTAAACTCTAGATCTTACTCTTGGGTATTACATGATAGATCAAAAAGTTTGGTCTTAGTGTGTTTATAATCTATAATTTGGATTAAATATACCTTGATTCTAAAATATTGTTGTATGCATCTTATTCAGGAAAATGCTTTTTATTAAAACATTGTTTAAATTTTAGATAATGAAAGCACCAAAATAAGTGATTTTTTTATTTTTTATTTTTTTTTAATTTTAAAGAACCAAATATGATTATTATGATTGTAGGATTTTAACATTGTAAGAAATAACTGACACCATGATGGCTAAATGTAGTTAAATCTGAAATTATATAATTTCTATAATTTATTAGAATATAAAATATATATAAAATTAGTGTATAAATACCTTATATTCCCCGATTAGAGTAGCACTCAAAGAAAATTTGATCCATAATTGTCTAAAGACCATTTAAAACAAACTTAGATAGTCTTCTAAATCAAATATGGTCCTTTATGAAACAACTAAAAAAAACATTTGTTATTACAAAATAAAGTAAGTGCCATATCTAATAAAATATATCATGAAGAATGATGTTCTTTTATAATATAACATAAAAACTAAAAAAGATATAAAAAAATAAAATTAGTATTGAATATATATTTTTTAGAAAATTATTATATTACCATATTTATATTTATTTCTAAAACCATTTAGTTATAAAATTATAGATTGTGGTACTTCAAAATGTTAAGTTTTATATTCTCTATATTATTGTTGATTTTTTTAAAAATATATAAAAAATATACATAGTATAAAAATAAAAATGAAATTTGTAATGACTAAAATTATACACTTTTATAAAGATTTAAAAACTTATGATGAGTTTGTACATATATACATTGTTTTAAGTTATGGTATTTATTTTTGATTTTTTAGCTTTTTAAAAGCATTTATTGTATGGTATCTTCTTCATTTATAATTATAATAATATTCTAAATCTAATTAAAATCTTTCTAAACCTTTCAATTTGCATCACAAATCCAATCAATTTCTAATTCATTCTTCTTTAAGTTTTAGAATTTAGATATCAAATTACAAAAAAATAAAATATTATTTTGAAAAAGCATAATTATATAAAGTAAAAACATGTAATAAAAACATTGTCAACAATATCTATAAATACCTTCCTAAATATTTGGTATATATGGAGCACATTTGAAATAACAGTACATTCTCAATCTCAATTCACTGAATTTATTTATTTATTATTACTTTAAAAAAAAGTTTAAAAGTTATTTTTATGAACTTTGTGAGGACTCTTAATTTGAAATATAATTTACCAGTAAAGGATTTGAATTAATATAATGAAATCATTTAAATTTATTAAAGTCTAGTTTTAAGCTATTATTCAGCCCCGCATTTTGATTATTCTTCTCAAAATTAAAAACTAAATTTTAAAAAAAATAAAATATTTAAAAAATTACATAAAAGTAACTGCAAACAATATAGAGAATTTTAAAATCAGAACAGGAAAACTATTCTCTCTTCTCAACGAACAGCTGAGGCAAAATAGAGAAAAATTATTCAATTCAAAACTAAAATTTTCATATATGAAATACAATACCATCACCAAAACAACTCTCTAATTTAGTTAATAATGTAGAAAAAGTATAATGGAAAATTTAAAATCAAAATATATTGATATGTGTTTACAGTACATCTACTGTTTGACATGATTGTGAGCATACCAAAATAAATAAGTTGGTTTTAAAAAAAAAAGATTAAAAAACTAATGTTGTTGTCCTTTAAGCTCATCCACATTATCTTTATATACTAATAGAACTAATTTCTAACAAGTTTGAGTAAATCTGAGGCTAAACAACAAACAGAAATAACTTGCATCTGTTGTACTTACTTTAGTGCAAGTCTGTAGAACAAAGTAAGAATTTTCATAATTCAATAAGCCAAATTTAACTCATTATCATTCTTATGTGTTAAAGAGATATATATATATATATATATATATATATATATTTGAAGTTGGTCACATCATCAAATAGCATTATAAGACCATGGTGTTGTAGAGTTCCCCTCTTCCAATGATATTTATGACTACCACTAATATGGTAAGAGTAATAAACAATTATTAGATTAGATTCTCGACACAAATATGGAATTACAGCCCAGGTGGACATCACAAAAGCAGCAGAATGTTCGTTGTTCATTAATAAATCCAAGTAAGCATTGCAACCCCACCCGGCTTTAGAATCATTTATCCATTACTTGGATGAAAACCTCTAATCCACCGTGTGAAACAATTTTCATTTACATCAACTCATTCATCCATCAACTTTAGGGAGTAACGACCGTCGATGTTGCATCCATGCTTGAATATTTCCCCTCATTTAGGGCAGATCGGGCGGATCGGGCAGATCGAACACAAATGTTTATTGCTGGACAGCAGGACCAGGAGGAGGAGGAGGTTCGTTTGAATTTTGCAACGTTGAAGATGGAACGATTCGGGCAGACGAGAAGTCCGTGGAGAATCTTTCGTCGCATCTGCCCGAATGGAGAAAGATTCACAATGATATGCCCAAGTAGGGCAGGATGACGGGCTGAGCCAGTGCGCAGAGAGAGGGAGCCAGAGAGGCGAGCTTGTGGGGCCCTGCAACACCGTTCTGTGCCCACCTCCCTCGACTTGCGTCCCTCCCTCGCATCATCAGACTGTCCAACTGGGTTCCGCTGATCTTGAGCAATAGGCGGAGTGTCCGTCGCGAGTGTTCGGAATCAATCGCCATTCGATGTTTTTTGCCTTTCCAGTCGTGGGTCACGAGCAATTCAATTGGGTTTGTTCTCACCCTACAGGTGCCGAGTTCTTCTACGCCTCACTGTCAGCACACGTAAGTGCGAAGAAATGGTGTGAACCTATCACCAGATAGAGCTCGGCGATGGAACAAGAGCAAGCACAATTTTTGTAGTCATTTTGGTTACCAAGTGAAGAAGGAGCAAGGATTGCGACATGCGCCTCGGTCTTGATCATTTTCTTCTGTTAGGTCTGCGCCCCTTCGTTTGACAGTTTTTTTCTGGGTTTGTATCGTGAGAGGCTGCTGTTGTGTGGGTCGGAGTTCAGCTTTGTGCCGTGAAGGGTTGGAGGAGCTCTTTGTGTCTTGAGTTCCTCGTTTCGGAGGAGGAGGACGGTGGGGTGAGAAGGTGTGTGGGTTTTGGATGCGTGTGAACGCTGGTTCGCGACGAGACTGTCCAGTTTAGTTCTGCTCGTTTTGGCTGATGTGCTCAATACCTTCCGTGTTCTTTTATCAATGTTGATCGATTTTGAGCCCAATGAGGTTTAAAGCAAGGCCTGAAGGCTGTGGGAGTCCTTGGTTCTTCTAGATGGGTTAGTCAATTTTCTCGAAATTAGAGGTTATTCCAGCTTAAGTGATACTTGAATCGAGAGGAACATGTGAAAGACACGGTGGAGTCAGATCATAATTCGGAAGTTAGTCTAGTTTTGAATCAAATCCGAGTCACAATTTCTAGTTCCAGTTCATTATATTGAAGTGAGTTATTTAGTTCTCATTTCGTCTCAAGGTGTTCCAAGGATTGTTGCAGAACGTGGTGAGATGTTCTCGCTGGTGTCATGAATCTGGAATCAACCGACGAAATGCGTAGATTAGGACTAAAACCCGCCTACATCTCTCAGCGATTGAGAAGTTTTTGAGTGGTGGCGTCTGCACTCAGAGCAGGTGTTCAAAGAAAGTTAAGTGCCGTCTTCTGAATGAAATGGAGAGACAGGTCTGGTGTCCCAAGGTGACCACCAAGTTGACAAGAGGATGTTTACAGTAAGCGGCCTCAAGGAACACTCGAGCTCCTGTCAGGCTTGTAATTCCACTTACAGTGATTATCATCACATAGACATTGACCACCAATAGGTCACGTTGCATTTACAAACCAGGGAATTGTCATAGAATGCAGTTTTTACAGCTTTTCAAGGTTCGCATCATCAGTAATTACGGGAACATAGGTTCTTGATTTTTACCTTTGAAGAAAGTCTACTTGAAGTTGTTGAGGTAGTTTCTATCTTACTTCCATTCAACATGGCTAGGCCGGATTGCATCCCGTGGGGACAGGTTGTATTTCATGGCTTGATCTGGACATCTGCTTATCTGCTGGTGGGGATTATGATGGCCTTTCCACTTATTCACCGAGCCATGGGATTATTCCAAAACTGAGGATTTTTGATTGGCTTGGGTTGCAGCAGTGATTTTAATTTTCACCTGAAAAATGGTCAAAGCAAACCAGAGCTCCTTTCCTTTGAGGTATCTATTTTCAACTCAAATTGTTAGTTCTGTGCTAGCCTTAGATTACGATCCGCTTCACGAATTTTTAGCTTTTAGTTCTCGATGTCATTTTTTTAATAATCTAAGTCAAGTAATGTGAGAGCTTCTCCCACAAGTTGTGATTTGTGTGACGCTGCGTTCCATATTTCTTGACTTTATGATTGGCACAGAACTGAAATGAATGAGATCTGTGTTAGTTGACTCTAAATCGGGCATGGTGCTAATGTTGCAGGTCTAGTTGTGCTTCGGAATACCATGTGCCAGTTTCATGAGGAGATGGTTTTACGCTTGCTATGAGGAACCAGCTGGAACAAGGGATTAATTTTCAGAGGGAGCTTAGTTTAGAAGTTGGATATCTCGAGTGGTCTTGAACCAGGTGGGGTCGTTTGTGTCCAGTCTCTTCTCAGACTATCATCAAATGCAAACAACCTTGACTTGGTGATGTGAGAAACACGAGTCAACCTTTCATGGAGATGAGCCTAGTTTTGAGAGGCACTTACGACTGAGCTGCACCTTAAACTAAGCAATGTGCTCCTGTTTATTAACTGCATTAAGTGATGGCAGCAAACACATCCTACCTCAGTTAATTAGAGCGAATTAGTAAGCCGCTTCACGCGCATGTAAACTCGATCAAGCTGTGTTCTATTTTTATTTACTTATAGATTTTCAAACGGAAAATTTAGCTGGTAGGTCGAAGAGAAAACCTTAGTGCTAGGCAGACCTCTCACGTACCCGGGAGGTTGGATGAGTCATGAAGACTCTGGAGTTTTCAGCGGCACCTAGATTTTCTGATGTTCTTATGTTCTGATGTAATATCTCAGTGTCTTGGAAGCACGAATCAGTGACAGAGACATACGGGGCCAGTACCTTCGTTGGTATGGATTTTCTTGGTTTCTCAAAGAGAGATTAATCTTCAAAAATCACTCTTTTACGAATCAAAGCTCAATTGGGTACAAGAGACTGTTAGAGTGATGGAAAAAAAAAAACGAACTGGAATTTGTATTCCAACAGCAAACTCATATGAGTGAAAAATTGTAGCTGGCGCTTGTATCTATAAGGTCTCTGTTTTCACTGTGCTACTAACAACTCATAGCCTGTACTAGTGACCGCAACGTTCTAACTGCAGCATAGAATTAAATCCTTTTAGGTATTCGGTTCAGGGATTCATCGGCTGGTCTTGACGTTGCTCCTGAATCTCAATTTCATCCGGTTCCTCCATGTGGCTACTACAGGTTGGGGGTTCCACTGGTTCAACTGACGGAGAAACTACCGTGACAAGCTCGGTGCCTCCAGACGTTACACTCTGCTCCAGTTGCGGAACATTAATGGTAGTGTCAAGAGGTGGTGTCATGGCTCGGCCCAAGAGGCTTGCCAGGCTGTGTCCTTGAGAATTACCACTTGAATTCCCAACTGGTAGAGTCTCCAAATTCGCATCTTTACAGACCCGCGCAATTGCAAGCTGCATCTAAAAACCATGTGTCATTTCCCAAAGCTAAACTGACTGTTGTTCATGGCATTCTGCACTTGTGCTACAACACGTTCCTGAATGCAAATATATTTCCCATGTGTGTTTGAGAGCAGATCCAATATTGAAGCACTTGTGTTATGTGTTCACCTTAAGGCCGTCAGGCTGCTGGACTGCATATATGATTTCTGTGGAGTCGCTCAACACGGGCTTACTATTTGCCGTTGAGGCATCTCTAGCCGAACCACTTTCATGTGAGACGACTTGGTTAATGACGCGTGCTCGCATGGCCCGTGGGGATAAACCAATTATTTGTATGCCCTGTGTCAATTGCATGACAAGCTTTTAAGTGCAACTGCTGCAGTTGTCACGGGCAGAATGTCAGGCAGTGTCGTGCTTAGCTGCGTTCGCATCTACTATCCGTAACATGCAATTGTGGTGAGTCTTGAGTGCAAAGAAAGTGATTATGAAAGATGTCCTTGCTCTCTTTAATAGAGGGAATTAGGTGATGGATATTATCTCCACCTGCTGTAACAGATACCACTGACTCTTGACGCTAATTAGGTGCCACGTTGTAGAGTTACAAGAGATGCTGGGTGAAGAGGTAGGGGCGCATACAAGGGGACGCAAGTGAGGGTCTTCTTCATTTGCTACTGAAGAGACTTGCGTTGTTGGCCAATTAGCGATTATGTGACCATCGTCGTTTGCCATGGGCATTCTTGACACTTTCGCCACCACAACCGCTACGAAGATCTGAAAGTCGATGTCTCAGCACATCAACAATTAAATGTGGAAAATGATCACAACCGACGCATTAATCAGTATTACAAATCACGACCAATATGGAATAGCACAAGCGGATTCTATTCATGACGTCGAAGATATACCATAAAGATTCAGTTGTAGAAATGCTGCACCACGAGTGCCTTGACCCACCTGGTACGAAAGAAGAATGCAGTACAAAACAAGTGGAGCAGCACAGCTGAATCTGGAGCATGGTTGTCGTTTCGCATACACTGAGATGGAGAGCAGCGACAATAATATTTGAACAATTGAGTACTGTATCATCAGAACACCAGATTACAGTCTGTTGGTCAAGTGCGTATCATGAACTGAAATTACACTGATGTTCAGAAATTAGCCGCGGAGGTTGAAATATACGAATGCAGGTATGTAGCCCCGAGAGCAGATGAAGGCCACAAGCTCCACAGCCCGATTAAGCATCATCGGATATAGATGCCAGGGGAAATAGCTAGCAGTAAATAGCTGGTAACACAGCACTCCAACTATCTCTATCTGCACAAATCATTCAAGCCTCAATCCTTCGAACATCGAAATTACATCCAATTCGAGAAACTGGGTTATCCATAGACTCTCTTGTAGGCACGAGTCTTTTCATTCTTGATCACCACCTAAAATCCTTCGATTGGACGCAAGTGATAGTTCATTGACAAACTTACAAATCTCATGGCAACCAAAATTATTGAGTGCAATCGCATTTATAGGGCCAATTATCGTACCAGATCAACAGAGACGAGGAAAGCGAAGAGAGTCACAACGTATTTGTGTGTGAGGATGATCTGTTGATACTGAGAAGATTCTGGCTGTTGCGATGCAGAGCGCCGCTGCCAACAGAATCGCCATGGTGTCGGCATTATCCCTCATATGTCGATTAAGCTCTAAATCAGCATCAATGCCGGTACGATGCAAGTATACAACGTGCTCATGAACTCCTTTATTAATTATCATTCATCTGAAACAATCTGTCTTGTTTCGGACAGCATGGATGCAGTAGCATTAAGACGATGTCAATCCCGTCTATTCCCCACATTGAGAGATTGGTATGTTTGTGAACTACGGAATAGCTTCTCATATCATAGGTTTGCAACCTGTTCGTCATATAATGGATCCCCGATGTCATGGAAAACATAGTGATCCTTGGATAAACATGAGGAGAGTTGAAGCAAAAGAATGTAAAGGTAGCAAATGAAGGGAGTTAAGTATAATGGAAGGGATACAGAAAGGTGTTGGTGACCTAGAATGCCAAACCACCATATTTATAACCGCCAACCATTGTCTCCATAAGAGATCCATCCACACGTGAAAACTCAACTCAATAACCTCTCTCAAGGTTTTACACCTTGTGCCAAATTAAAGGATTTTAATCCGTTTCAAATGTATATAAGACTTCAAAACCTATAGAGTACACCAAGGTGGTTAGGATAAGGTCACAACTGTTCCTCTACCAAGAACTTTGTGCACTTCCATTGCCAGTGTATCCCCCGAAACCAACGAACTCATCTGCATTGATGTCACTGTAGCCTAACAAATCATACATGAGACAGCGTCAATACAGCATGATTTAATAGTTTTCATCCAGTGATACTTTCAGGAATGAATGCAAGTTAACTAAAAATCTCTTTTTGGAGAATGGAAGCACCTATATTATGGAAGCCCGAGGACAAAGCTCTCGGACCAGTCATTGAATAGAAATGCTACAAGTGCTGTGTGCTTTCATGTCTATCACTCAGCTACGATGCACCTATTTAGGGGCTCAGTGAAAAGATTCGGAAAAGTTCTTGGAACCTACTCCCCTACCTCACTTGGGCTACTACATTCTGCCTTGGGCAAGTCGGTACAGCAGATTTACCTTTGAATAGTCGGTCAAAACTGAAATGTACAAGTCTAAATATAGGTAATGTTGAAATCGTGCTAAATATGCTAGCAATAACCCTCGTAGTATTTACGGCTCCCTCTTCAAGACACGCATTAAGGCGGCTCTCGAAGTAGCACAACCCAATTACTCTTGACACCTGAGGATTCTAGACGTCTCCTCTATCCAGTCCTGATGATATATTATGACAATCGATCCTGGATGGTAAATGGTTGCTTTCTTCCACAGTGTCTTGCAAGCCGGCCTTGAACGCCCGGATAAATGCGTCTGAATCATCCTTGATGTCCTGCGTCATGGAACCATTATGCAGGGCGGTAATGATTTCTTGCCTGCATTTGAGCTCCTCCAATTTTCCAGACACTTCAAGCATGGTAGGGCGACGCCGCACCTCAGTCGCTGTGCACAGGTCTGCCAATGTCAAAAAGTTCGAGAGTGATTCACTGTCACCAGTTCGTATCACGATAGGGTCATACACCTCATTGCGCCGGTGAGTCTCGACAAGAGTTTTAACCCATGCAACTAAATTTCCACCCTCCATACCATGGAAGTCGGGTCCAATGGGCCTTTTCCCCGAAGCAAGCTCGAGCATCACCACACCAAAACTGTACACGTCTCCTTTGGCAGTTGCTCTCCATGTCACTCCATACTCTGGTGGTACATATCCAGGGGTACCAGCTACCACAGTGCTCACGTGTGTCATGTGCTCGCCTGTTATTAGGCGCGCAAGTCCAAAATCAGTCAAGCAAGCATCGAATTTCTCGTCCAGAAGAATGTTGCTAGTTTTCATGTCGCGATGGATGATCAGTGGATTGCAATCATGGTGAAGGAAAGATAGCCCCTGAGCTATTCCAGCAGCAATTCGCAACCGTAGTGGCCAAGTTAGTGTAGCTGCTCGTTCCTGGCTCTCATACAGCCAGTCATCCAAGCTTCCATTACTGAGGCACTTGTATACCAGTAACCTCTCTCTCCACCTGCAGCAGTATCCTAACAAAGGCACAAGATTTACATGCTTAATGGACCCCAGTATATTTATCTCAGCTTGGAACTCGCGATCGCCTTGAGCTCCATCTTGCACAAGTTTCTTGATGGCAACGGCTGTGCCGTCTGCTAACTTCGCCTCGTACACCATGCCGAAGCCACCGTCACCGATGATTTTAGCTGAGTTAAAATTTTCGGTTGCGACCACCAGATCTGAATACGTGAGGGGCTTCAATGACCCATCAAAGCTGTGGACTGGTACGTAATTAAAGTTCGAACGCATCACGTTACATGTTCTGAAATCGGCTTCAACGTCCACGATCGACGAAGTTTGCTTCCTTCCCACTAAGCAACGATCCTTGATCTTCATGACCAACAGAAACATGGAAGTTACTACTATGCATACCAGAAGGGCACCAAAAACGCCAATGAGCGTGCAGGCCAATACCAAGTGTTTTGAGAATTCACTTTGATTGGTTACCGAGAGAAAGGGAGGAGCTGAGGCGGACATGCTGCTGCAAACTTTCATATCCTGTTCAAATTGAAGTCTTTGAGTAGCATCTGGATTCCTGCAAAGCTTTGTGTTGTTAATAAAAGCCCATGGATTGAAATTTCGAAATGATGAACGGTCCGGAATTGGGCCTTCTAGCTCAGGATTATAGGAAAAATTGTAGGCGGAAAGAAAGTTCAACTTGTTTAGAGAGCTGGGTAAAAAACCAGCGAGGTTGTTGTAGGAAAGTTGTAGACTCTGGAGAGTGGGTGCCAAACCCTCGAATATATCTGGAATGGAGCCATTGAAGTTGTTGTGTGTCAGGTCTATGTTGTAGAAATGGACGTTGCGGAAGCCTACTGGGATTGGACCTGAGAGCTTGTTATTTGACAGAATGATGCAGGATAAGCTTATCGATATGTTTGAGGCTGGCTCAGGTATCAATCCAGTGAACTCATTATTGGAGAGCTGCCAGTACCCCAAAGCAGGTCTGTTTCCATGCAGTATGTCCAGCCATTGCTTGCGACATTGGTCATGTTTCAAGGTCATTGCCATGTTGTTGAACGGTGCGATATCCTCAGGTATCCAGCTCTGTACTAGAGAGCATTCGCCAAAATTCATGAGCGGGAAATCGTTTAATCCTAGGGTTCTCCAAAAAACTGTATTTGTATCCATGCCTAGTGAATATAAATCACGGGGAAGTTCTCCTGACAAAAGATTGTCGCGCAAATTCAGCCACAGTAAACTCCTACACTTTGTCATTTCCACTGGAATCGAACCACTCAGTCGGTTTTTCGCCAATTGCAACCACATGAGACTGTGAAGGTTCCCAAGGGAGGACGGTATTGACCCATTGAGATGGTTCGCAGATAGATCCAGCCCTTGCAAGCCAGTCAAATTCCCAAACGCTGATGGTACGAACCCAACAAGTTGATTACTGGCCAAGCGCAGAAACCTCAAAGTTGTCAGGTTAGCAAGCTCTGAAGGAATTCTACCACTCAAATTGTTGATGCCCACATCGAGGTGGACCAGCATCGGTGCTTGTCCAAGCTCGAGCGGGATTTCACCGGAGATGTTGTTCGAGTGAGCAGTGAAGTACCGAAGGCTTGGCATCCTACTCAACCATATTGGTAAGCCCCCAGAAAGTAAGTTCCGGCTCACGTCAAGCACCGAGAGCTTCTGACACTGCAGAAGACTTTCAGGAATCGTCCCTGTGAACTTGTTCTTGCCTAATCTCAAACTCTCCAAATTCTGTAACAGGCCCAGCTCTTCTGGTATGGTTCCAGTCAGCATATTGCTTTGAAAATTGAGGTGGGAAAGCTGACTACAACTTACCAACGAAGCTGGGATGTCACCACGAAATATGTTGAAGGAAAGGTCCAGGTAAGTGAGGTTGGAGCACCCAACCGACTGAAGCACATCCGTCAAATTTCCGGTGAATTGGTTTAAATATAGGTCTAGCTTTTTTAAAGAGTGGAGTTGGTGAGCAACACCGGAGGTCAAATCACCAGTAAAATTGTTGTCCCTGAGTTGAATTTCTTGGATGTTAGCGCAGCTCCATAGATGATCAGGTACCGGCCCTACCAAATCATTGTCTGAAACTCGTAAATATTTCAAATTCTGACAATTTGCAAAAATATCTCCTGGAAGATTCCCCGAAAAAGCATTGGACGAGATTTCCAAATTCTGCCAACACACATTCCCATTACTTTCAGCAACCACGCTGAACATATACCCATTCATAGGCATGTGAAGCACGCCAGCGAACTGGGACACAATATGAAGCACAAAACACAGGTTGTACTGGGAAAAAGATATCAATCATCGTTTTCTGACTACAGATACGACAACTTGCAGGCTTACACACCTTCCGCTAGTACAGAGGCTAGAAACGACTGGTTTAATACAAGACAATTCTGTTCTCCGTTACTGAACTAGGGTTGTAAAACACACGATCCATTATTATAGGGTCATCACACTATCAACCGTGAAACCATAAAGACCTTAAAATTTTCGCAGAGTATGAGGATGATTAAGTCAGGTCTGAACCTGAGGCTTCATCCATGAACTAACCTCGAGCTTGATACATTTTCCGATGTCGGTAGGGATACTTCCATTGAATTTGTTGGAAGCTATCACTAAACTGAGAAGACCTGTGAGGTTCCCGAGTCCATAGGGCATGGACCCTGTGAGGTTGAGAGCAGTAAAATTGAGGCCAGTAACGCGAGCTTCTCCTTCAACACTTCCACATTGTACTCCATGCCATCCACATGGTGCAGAAGCGTTGTTGGATAACCATGAGTTACGGAAGTTGATGTTATATGTCTCGTTTAAGAGTGAGTACGCCCAATTCTTCAAAGCTGCTTGATCTTTACTGAGCCACGTTTCTGATGATGGAGATACGGATAGCAGACCTGTACGGAAACACGTTCATTGGATAGAAATCAGGACAACTCTTTCGGTGATTTCAACTATGAGATTCACTTGACAGTGCAAAGTAGTAACAACAAAACACCTACGCTCCACGATGTGTCAAGGTCGATAATAAACGCTAAACTGTGTGAACTCTTACTCAAAAATGCGTCGCATAAAAGCAGACATCGGACTCAAAAAGATATTCTAGGTGTAGGTCGAAAAATGTTTCATTTGGGCAGGCAAGGAGTTTCCCATCAAAGTCATTTGATGTTATTTCTGTGATCATAAGAATAGCAGTTTCAGAAGCACCAACTACAGTGCATATTCACACAAGTATGACTATACTAGCACTGAATCCAACACATAGTACATGGTTGAGACTCACCTTTTCTGAGACCCACGCTTGCATCTTCATCTGAAATAGGAAGAGATGCGAGCTCTTTCCCTCGCAAAGGTTCATCCGCTGCTACTGCCGGCGGTAGAGTGATAATGAAAAGCACAAGTCCATTGAAAATGAACCTGAACAAGAATGTCAGCATTCTATAGCTGAAAATTGCCCAAAATGTGTATTAGTGCTCAAAATTTAGCCTCGCGTAATCTGCAGCCGCTCATTTCATATCTCCACCTATCCAACGCCCACGGTCCACATATGCAGGACATACTCTTAAATTCATTAAGATACGACTCCAAACGAAGAGCCACAGCTCACATTTCTTATCCTTGTTGTAATACATCTCCAGGACAATATTTCAAGAAATGTTTTTGTTGGAGCAAACTTTCGACGCAAGAAGAGCTCAGACGATGAAGATCGAATCTTACATCCTCTCTAGGAACCATTCAATTCCAACCCCGATTTACCATTTCTGCTACGTGAGTTTGCAGCAGATACTGATTTCATCAACTACCCGAGCACGTTTAGTCTGTACAGCACAGGCTTTGCACCAAATGTAATTGGATACCAAAACTTGCAATGAGATATTTGCATGGGGCACTATCACTGGCTTAACGACTTCGTCAAGACCGCGTCTCCCTTCACCTCGATCACTCTACCAGAGCTGTCAACGATGCTCCTTTGTTCAGCTCCTTTGAACCACGTACGCAGCCTCGTTCTCAACTCAACCATAGCATCAAACAGACGAGCTTCCTTGAAGCCAGGTGATAAACCAAGACCTAATATGATTCTCGCAGGTGTAGAATCCCCCAGCTGGTTCCTCCTCACACCCAATTCCGCCGACTATCTCAGACCAGTGCACCTATCATATTGGTTTTAGAAACTCTTCCGGTACACCCACTGAGGAGATGAATACAGAACGAATTCAAATTCAAGCACAACTTCAGCGGCTAGCCCGCCAATTGCAACCAGCCTCAATCATTTTCGCCTTTAAAGAAACAAGCCTCCGCTTCGACGATTTGAAACCACCTTCGCAGAACCACATCATTCATACACCAGGACACCAGAATCATAACCGTTGGTCTACATCATGATCTCAAACCACCCACACGCATCCCACAATCCCGATCCCATCCAGGTCATATCCTCATCCACTTCGCCGCACTTTAGACCCCCCCCCCCCCCCACGATCTCCTCCTCTTTCAAACTCACAATCCACGAATCTTCTCGTTCTATTCCGCCGGTCCATCTCTCCCGCTCTCGTCACACCTACTGCCCCTACTTCCCAGTCTCAGCCCCTACCCCATAATTCCCAAAAATTCTCCTCACTACACCTAGCACTCATCCGGTCAAGATTCTTCCTCTCATTCACACACACACACATACTCAAACTCACTCACTCATGCACACACACACGCACAGACTCGCAGTCGCAGCACTCTCAGCACCCGAGTTTGACCGTAGCCAAGCAACGAGGACTTGTGTCACTACCAAGCAAATTCCGAGAGGAAAAAGGAAAAATCCGGCACCACTGGGTCCGTGGATTGGGAGCAAGACGCGTGACGAGGGAGTCAAGGGAGGCGTTGAAGAGGTGATGGCGCGATTGAGAGAGAGACGTAGTGTGCCCGTGAGTGAGTGAGACTGAGTGCGGGATCGGAGTCAACTAACTGCCCTGCATCGCCTTGACCAACCCTCCCGCAACTCTACTCCTCCTCCTACTTTCTACTTTTTCGTCGCCGGACTCCACAACGTTCGTCGTCATCGTTGATGGAGTCGTCGAAACCAATAACGCTCGTCTATATTCTACTTTTGCGTCGCTGGACCCCACAACGTTCGTCGTCATCGTTGATAGAGTCGTCGAAACCAATAACGCTCGTCTATATTCTACTTTTGCGTCGCTGGACCCCACAACGTTCGTCGTCATCGTTGATGGAGTCGTCGAAACCAATAACGCTCGTCTATATTCTACTTTTGCGTCGCTGGACCCCACAACGTTCGTCGTCATCGTTGATGGAGTCGTCGAAACCAATAACGCTCGTCTATATTCTACTTTTGCGTCGCTGGACCCCACAACGTTCGTCGTCATCGTTGATGGAGTCGTCGAAACCAATAACGCTCGTCTATATTCTACTTTTGCGTCGCTGGACCCCACAACGTTCGTCGTCATCGTTGATGGAGTCGTCGAAACCAATAACGCTCGTCTATATTCTACTTTTGCGTCGCTGGACCCCACAACGTTCGTCGTCATCGTTGATGGAGTCGTCGAAACCAATAACGCTCGTCTATATTCTACTTTTGCGTCGCTGGACCCCACAACGTTCGTCGTCATCGTTGATAGAGTCGTCGAAACCAATAACGCTCGTCTATATTCTACTTTTGCGTCGCTGGACCCCACAACGTTCGTCGTCATCGTTGATGGAGTGTCGACGACTCTGTCGTTGTCGTTGTTGTCATCGTCATTGTCGTCGCAGCGTGGAGTGCCAGGAAGGTACTGTACAGCTGTTTCGAGGGGTTCTTCTTCCATGTGCATTTTCCCACATGCTCGTGCTCTCTGCATAATCCTTTGAAGTTTTTGTTTTGTTTTGTTTTGTTTTTTTAATAATATATTAAAAACTCTTTTGGTTCTAGAATAAAAATTGGACATTGAAAATGCTATACAAAACCAGCAATAATGTGGCATGTTGAAAGGCTCGTCATCCGTTCTTCAGAAGCTTGGATTTCAACTTATTCCAGTTATTGTGCAATCACTACACTTTTCTTTCATATACATACATACATATATATACATATATATATATATACACACACACACATAAACATATATTCCAAGCAGTAATGATTTTTTTTTCAAAGATATTACAAAATTGTGAAACTGTAAAACTGTAAGATGATGATAAATTGGGTAGTCTTATATTAGTAAAAGTTATTTACTAAAAAGGACAAGTGAACTAAGCCAAATATCAAAATATAATAAAAACATTATCTAGAAGAGCCATGCAAACCCTCTTTTATCAATTGAATGAATTATTGTTTGAATAATTATTTTTTAAATAAAAAAATGGAAAAAATAGAATAAAGTAGAATAAAAACAATGACATTTGTTGAATTTCATCATATATCATTTATAACTTTAAAGATGTGATATTAATTGTGTTCATATTTTCAACACATCACTTATAATAAAATATTTCATCCCCCCTCCATGCCTCTTTAAAAAGCAATAATTTGTCTCCCACTTTAAAATTTATTCTAGTTTTGGCCATGGCTTAATCAGGTTGGTTGAAGGCTCTAAATTTATACATGTGCACATGAAAATATTATATGAACTCACAAATCAAATTCCAATGAATTGGGACTATCTTGAGGTCTTTGAAGAATGTAGCTATGATAGCAATGAAAGATCACTAAAGATATTGTATACATTGGACTAACCATCCTTCTCTTACTACATATATATATATATATATATACACATATAAACATACAACATTCTCCCACTGTAACATCCCATATTAATGACATAAAACAATAGAGTGGGGGACTGTAGAAAGAGCACCCACAGAATTGCACGGATTGAGAAGAAGATCAATTTGATTGGAAGAGCATTGATGGCACCATCAAATTGTTTGCATGGATGAATTGCTTTGGGAAGAACTCAACAACAACAACAACACCAAAGTCAGACAAATAGTAGAGGAGAAGAAGATTAGGTAAAAGTGGTTAATTTTCTATTGCCTTCAAAGCCAATTGCACTCTTTGATTAACAACCATGTGTCTATCCCACCCCACATCTTGAATTCTTTGTAGAGACTAGTTTTCATGGTCTACAACCCTCAATTATTCTTTATGACCAAATTGACTAATTGACTATACTTCTTTGACTTCCATTCACGTGTGTTGAAAGGATTTGTAGTACTTTTAGAGGCAAGAAATAGTAAGATGACAAACCCTCTTTTTCTTTTTATTTGTTTTGTTTTTGTTTTTCTTTTTTCCTACGATTCTATAGTAGAAGAATGGGAAAGCACATACTTGGGGCCATCAATAAGGAGCAACCAAGGAAAGGAGGCTCCAAAAGGTATGTTCATAGAATTTTCTAGAACTAAAGGCCACCAATTAGGGCATGACCGGAAGGTTCCGGAATACATCAAGCAAAGAGAATCCACCTTTATGTTACAAGAATAAATGACCTTTGTCATAAGCTTTAGTCTTTTCTCTCCATTTATTTATCTAATTTTATTCATCCAATGCATTTGTACAAGCTTGTTTAGGTGGGTCTTTTCTCACTCATGCCTCACATTCTATTGGTCTAATTGGCTTCATGACTTTATTGACTATCTAGCCTCTTCAAAATGAATGAAAAAATTGTTATTGCTTTGAGGCACTCATTCCAAATTGGCAAATGTGAAACCACAAAATGCTTTTGTAGGAGTGTGACATGTATAAACGGAGTAGATGGTTTGGCTCTCAAAAAGGCTTACACAATATGCTCTAGTTGGTTTTTTATTTATTTATTGGTTTCCTTTCTCATTTATAATTGCAATTTTCTCATCGGACCAAGACAATTCATCAATCTCTCACTTATCGAGGTCCTACTCCTATCACTACTTTTAGTTTTTCTCTTTAAAAGAAAATGTCTGAATGTATGTATGTGTGTGTATATATACATATATAAACATATTAATAAAAATTGTGTGAGACCACAAGTATATTCTCAATTTCATTATTACATAGATAATATATGATTGGCAATAAATAAAAACTTCACTAAATACTTTAAAATTTTATTCCATTGAGAGAGGATTTCTCTATTTTGTGCTGGCAACAATAATTCAGTGACGGCAAGACACAAAAATATAGATGGATAAATTGTGTATTTAAATCATTTCTTTCAACTTTCACTTTTTATTGAAAAATGATATACTTATCAATGTTTTTTTTGGTAAAAAGAATTATTCACAGTATTTATAAATTTTCCAACACATCCAACATAAAATAAAATAAAATTTGAATCATTAAGGCACTGGTGATGTAAATATATATATTTTGTTTATACATTCTTGTTAATAATCAACAACTTTATTTGATATAATGATGTTTTTAATGTGATTATTTTTGTACATCACCTTACATATTTTATGGAGTTTTTACTGAGGCTTTCTAGGTCATAATAAATATGAATCAAGTAATGGTTAACATGATTTGTTAGTAAATAATACAATAATAATAAATCTTGTTGGTTCCTCAAAGTGTTGTATGGTACTACCACATGAATGAGTGTGGTCTTTTAACACTTCTACTTGAAAATACATTAGATCAAGCCACTTTGTTCAAATATATATATATATATATATATATATTTAATGAGTTAATTAACAAATTCACCTGAAATAATCTTGAAGTTCTAATAGTTGTGTCTCTTCAAAGTTTAATTTTAATAAATAATACATCAAAATTTGATACCCAAAACCAACCAATTGTACTTTTTTCTTCCATAACATAAAGTCAGTATTAATCCAGTTTAAACTGTCACACTTTACATGTAATAAGTCTAGCTTATTTTTTAAGGACTAATATGTAGGTGACACAAGTGTTGCCTTCAAATACTAACTAGACTGATTTACAAACTCCATGTTCCTTTGAACAATACAGTTTTAAGAACAATGAAAAAAGGATTGAATGTAATATAGAATACTGCAAATTTCTTGTTTGTGCAAACTAATGCCACTCAATTATCCTCTGTTGTCTGGTTATATTGCCTTATTATCCACCAATAATGAAACACATTGTAAATTCTGTCTGGTGAATACAAAAAGTACACAAACATGAAAATTTCATAATATTTCATAAACTGCTTATCAACAGTTGTGTGGATTTTCAGAAGCTTGCATAACATGTTCATGTTTAAGTGCTCATGCAAACCAAAATAAAAGTAAGCAACAAATATAAAGTTGAAAAATAGCCAACACATGTTGCAGAGGACTAAAGAGTTTCATTCATTCATTTGCTCATTCTCCCATGCTCTAGAATGTATTCTAAATATTTCATAGATACAGTGTATTATGGCACAAATGCTAGAAACCTTGAAGGATGCAAACTGCAATATTGTATAACATTTTATACAATGTTTGACCACTCAAACATTTTTATTAGATTAGGATCTTTGATATTTGAATTTTAGATTTAGTAAAGATTTTTGCAATCCCAAAAAATCTACTTATTCAACTAGAGAAAAATTTAGTGAGAGCATTTTTGACTAAGGTATCTACTTTTTTGCTAAATTGTAAAGAAATTGAACAATTCAACAAGGAGAAATTATTACTAAAAGATCAACATCTAGGTTGAAAAAAGAAGATAGTTGATATCTAAGAGTTTTAGGAGCATGTTCTGTCAATTGGTGAGTTCAATTTTCCTCAAAATTTGTATGCATAATATTTGCTTATGGATTGAAATGAGTAAAAAAATTTAGTTAAGATCAACAATTTGATTAATAGTTGTTGAGATTTTAAAATATCTATAGGAATTGGTTAGGATTTACTTAAGGTTTTTTTGGATTCTTTTTAGTGTTATTTAGGATTTCTTTAGAATTTTCTTAGGATTTAATTTGGATTTCATTAAGATTTAATTAGAATTTCATTAGGGTTATTTTAGATTAGCTTTAGATTTTATTAGGATTTGTTAGGATTTGGTGAGAGTTTGGATAGGATTTTATTAGGATTTAATTAGGATTTCTTTATTATTTTTCTTTAAGATTAATTTCTGATTTTTTATGTATTTTTAGTATTTTCTTTCTAACTTCTTTTGGATTTGATTAAAATTTAATTATGATTGTTAAGATTTGATTAGAGTTTATTTATGATTCTATTTGACTTGTTGGGACCTTGTTGTTGCATTTTTCTATTTACCTTCCATAGCTAGGTGCTTGATGCATTCTCAAGCAAGAATTCACATAATACAATGGCACCATGGATTATCAACCTTTTGAACCAGCTTAATACATGTAATCGCACTAAAGGCCACATTAAGGTTGCAATGAAGGCAAATGAAGTTGCGATGAAGAGCCCTTTGCAAAATTTACAATTACATCGAATGCAAATTAAGTTATAATAAAGAATCCACTATAAAAGAGACCATTGCGATAAATGCAAATCAAATTGCATTAAAGAATCCTCTACAAAAGGGACAATTGTGATGAAGTCAAATCAAGTTGCAATGAAGCATGATTTGCAAAAGTTTTTTGATATCAAGTGGTCAATTTGTAATTCAATATTAAAAAAGTAATATATATCAAAACACAATATACCTTAGTAGCCAAAATGACAGTGCTTTTTACTGCATTAAATAAATAAATAAATAATAAAAATAAAAATTACACAGATTGTATTGCGTAAAAGAACAATCTGAATTTTTTTATGTAATTGAGATGATGTCATTTCAACAACTCACAAACATTGTACTTAAATTGCTTGCACATGATAATCCCACATACAATTGCCCATGAGTAAAGACATGTTGTACCACAGATGGAAACTAACAATGCTCATAGTTTGTCCTTGTGCTTTATTTATAGTCATTGCAAAGGCAAGTTGAAGAAGGAACTGCCTACATGGAAGCCAAAATGGCCAATGTGTGGTACTCATATGTGTATGATCATGTTATTTTTATTTTCAATCAAACCTTTTAACTCTCATGTTGATATCATTTTTAGATCTCTATCCACCACAATTGTTATATTTTGATAAGATTTCTAAAGATTAGGCACATGCTTTACGATCAATATGTCATAGTTTTTATACAAACTATAAGTAAGGTTATACTTGATATAAAGAATGTTAAATGCCTTTGAAAAATAAATGAAGTGATAAATAAATTTTAAAAATTAAAATTAAAAGATAAAGTATTTAAGTGACTTCATATATGCAAGTTGTTTTGAATTAAGAGTTAACTGACCTATATTGCATGACAATAAAATCAACACACAAGGTATAAAACCATTTTGTTTCAAAATAATTCTTTTATAATTTTAAGATACATAAGTTTAATCAATAACAAATATTGATCATTACTTTGTCAAAATTTGTGAAGATATAGTACAATTTATTTATTTATTTATCTTTAGAATAATGTGGTATTTGATTTTCTATTAAATGTATAAACTTATATTTTGAAGGACAATTTTTTATGAGATTTATAAACTTTCTACCACACATCGGTAATAATTTTCACACAGCACTTAAATGTTCATGAAAGAATACATAAAATTAAAAATTAAAGTTGACTGAGATATAAGAGTATAAAAATAGAGGTCAAACTTGAAATATAGTGGCATATTTTTAAGATTCAAGGACCAAATTTCTTACAAAAAAAAATAATTACACAAAATTGTATTAAAATTTGTACTATCATTATTCACAACTTTTCTATTCACAGTTTCAATGTTGAATACTATCATTTTCACAATAGTAAAATCTTTAAAACATAGAGACTATTTATTTTATCTTATTTCTTCAAACACCAAATGTAAAAGAAAAACCAATTGTAATGATTGCAAAGAATTGTAACAAAACATACACATAATACTCTTCTAAACATTAAAAAGTAAAATGATCAAATGTTAAATAGATTTCAAAAAATCATTTTCATATTCGTAGTGTTTTTTTTATAAAAAAAAAATAGAAGAGAGAAAAAGAAGGAACTGTCATCTTCAAATTTTCAACGAGAAATAAGCTCTCTTCCCTACCACGCCGAAGGTCGGCTGGCATTCAAGTCTCACCTCGTATTCTCCGTCACACACCCACACACACACACTCCCTTCTCTTGCATGAGTGGCCTCGGATCCTCCGCCCGCGGGTATTCAATTTTTTGAAAAAACGCAGGACTTCGCCTCGGGTACTCGACCCCCAAGTGTTGCATAGGGCGTTAGAACTTCCAGAGCCAGTACCCAAATGCGGGGAGGCGAAGCGGAGAAGATTTTTTGGGGAAGTTAAGGCGACTAAAAAAATCGCTTTGAGATCAAACGCCAACCAGAATTAGGGTTCAAACACACCAGTCGAAACTCTCTCGTATGTCTCTCTCTGTGTAGTGTGTGTACATGGATGGGCCCATCGATCGTGAAGCACGATGGCGATGGTGTCCCGAAAAAGGAATGATCTAACTAACCTGTCTGCCCTAACTCGTCGATATGTGTCTCTCTCTCTCTCTCGAGATGGATTCATTTACTGTACAAATGGTTGTGTGTCAGCCTGGTGTGAACCATGGGAAATTGTTGGAAGAACTTTCACCACCTCTGAAGACAAACGCAAGGATCTTCGGGTGCGTCGCTCTATCGCTGATATGAAGGACAAAATTGCAGGTGACCACATGACATGGTACGCGACAGCTGGTAGCGGAGGAGTAGGATCCTTTCTGAATGTGATCTTCATGTAAGATTGTGGTGATGAAGAGGATTAGTATAAGGGAAGGCAGGTACGAGGCACTTTGCTGGTGCGTCTGAGACTTTTGGAGTCCATAGCTCCTCCTCTCACTGCTCTTTCGAGGACCTTAGCTTCTGCTGTGATCCTGTCCTCTGATTTCCGGCCTGCCATTGACATGCTGTTGTAAAACTTCTCCTTCAAACCTGGGGACTGCAGCAGTGGAGAAAACACAACAAAAATTGTCATGAAGCTTTTCAAAAGGAAAAAACAAAAAAACAAACAAACTGATTCCAATGCGAGTTCATCATGTTGATTAAATAATAAAGGGCAGAGATTCTTCACAAACCTCGGGTTGCTTCACTGCTGTAGCGGCTTTGGCTCGTTGGTGATCTTCCAAGGACTTGATTTCTTTCTCCTTCCTTTTGTGTCTGTTTGACAGAAGGCAAGGTTCAAGCAAGTAGGTTAGACTGCCGTTTTCAAACTCTTCGGTCCGATTGCAGATAACACAACTAGCCAGAATATCCAAGAGTGGAGCTCAGTTGTCTTGATATCGACGGATTTAGAGATCATTTTCCACATAGTGCCACAAAGTTTCATTCCCGAAATGTGACATCCTCAAACGCGATTGTTGACTTCACAGAAAGAAGTGGAACAAAAAGAAAAGAAAAAAAAAGGGGAAAGGAAAGACTGAAAAACCAAATGCCTGGTTCAAAACAATCTGCTTACTTCATGTGGTTTTGAGGAGCGATGTACGGCTGTGGTGACCGAACTTGCTCAAATGCTTCTTGCTCCGAGGTCCTTCTGTATAATCTCTGAAGAGGAGTTGGCCCTAAAAGCCACAACTATCAAATTATGGTTATAATTTAACTATTAACTGTGACTGTCACGGCAAGTGAAACAAATTTCCTAAAAAAACTGTACGTGTATGTCATTTTGGCTACCAATCACACCACGAAATGTTTTTTGAACTTTACCATAAATCGCGCCCGTGCGAGTTTTTTTGTCATCCACCCACATATCCTTCAAATCGCCACTTCCAGAACGATTGAGAATGCGAGCTACGCGTGGAAGTTCCATGGACCAGTTCCGGCGTGGTTTCCTCCTCACAACTTGCGGAAGTACGCCAAGATTAGAGATGTCGGAGTCAGCATCGGAGACATTCGAAGCTCCATTGCGGGCCTTGTAATCAAAGTTACTCGCAGACGGATCGCGTGTACTCATTCCGGCCGCATTTCCGGCGGCTAATATATGCTTCCACTCAAAGGTTAAACTAAACTCGCTACGGGGTGAGCCACATTCCTCTGAATTGAAATTCTCATGGTGATCGTTCGTTTGTTTAAATGCAGGCGGAGACGGAAAGTCGCTATCTGCAAAATACATCAGCCAAGACGCAACTGTAAGCTCAGTGCACGCCCAATAGAGAATTTTCACCAAGTAAGCGTACAGTACAAAAACTCAAAGAAAAAATGAGGTAAATTCAGGAGGCCGTAGAGTTTCGGAGGGGCTACATCGCGCATTCTTCAAAGCGGTCGAAAGAAAGCTGCCTCCAGTGCTGTAGTGTTCGGCATCAATCCTTGAGACGTCTTCCGAGTTTCTATTAGCTGCACTTTTAGAAGGAGGAGAAATGGTCCTTGACTGCAACAGCGCCACATTCCAAACACAACTGTTAATCTCTTAGTTGTCGTGACAATACAGCAAATGTATGAAACATCACATCTTTCTGCCAGTAAAGAAGCTAACAAGTACAACATAACAATTTCATTACAAAAAATGTATGAAACATCACATCTTTCTGCCAGTAAAGAAGCTAACAAGTACAACATAACAATTTCATTACAAAGATACAGAATGTAAATGTCGCACGAACAACTCCAGGACAATCCCGTTAGGAACACAAGGAGGTTGGGTTGGAGTACCCACCCTGCTATGAGCAGCTTTGCTAGTCTTGGAATCTAAGGTTTGGAACCAAGTAGCGCAGCTGGAATGGTCCCATCCGCTGGGTGAAGAGTTGAGGAAATCAGAGGAGGAAGGGTTCTCATCATCAAGTGTGTCCAGCACGGAGGTAGGACTCGTCTTCTCTAGCCACGCCTCGACGGTTTCCCGCGAACGAAACATGCGCTCCGATGTAACAGACGCAACTGCGCCACTACTCGTCTGTGGCAATTTGCTGGATTGTTGTTCTTCATGCCACCAGCCATGGTGACCCGGCCATTGGCTTGTGGGTTTGGGGGGACAACTGTGGGGCTTATCCTGGAGTTGCTTCCCCAAATATTGTGTTGCCCTTGAACGTATGGACATCTGTAAAGGGAGTCTTAATTCTCCGAAATGATCTATTCTACCCTGGGTGTACGTATACTCTGCAACGAGCTTTACCAATGAAGATTGATGCCCCGGTATGCTACACACGTGCTTGTAACGACTAGTTCGAGATTGAACACCGACTGAATGAATGCCGGCAATACTAAGGAACGCTCAGTATCTCAACGCAGCGCTGGAGACTTCTACCTGTGGCCGTTTCTAAACTCCACCGCACTTCAGTCTATCCTCACAGTCTGACGCCGAAATCCCCAATGGTAAGAATCACACAAACCAAGCCTCTGCTCCAAATACTCGTGCTTTGAGCCAAGGATTCGAGCTGCAAAATGTCTATTCAATAGAATCTAACTAACCTAAGAACATTAATGAAACTCCCACGACCAGCTTCGACTCAAAAAATGCGCACAGAACTCACCCAAAAAAACAACCGCTTCACCTCAGCTCTCCCACTCTAGCAAGCAGCATCCGGTCCAGATCCCAAAGCAATTGAATCGCCACCTTATGTGAGTCACCACTCATCCCCCACTCATCACCAGCTCATCATGCGCTGACGCACACCACCATACAATCCTCAATCCCAAACAGTAACCAATCTGGAAACCGACTTCGAGACCCCCCCCCCCCCAAACAGAGCTAACCTAAGAGTAGAAACCACAGCGTCACCGCAAAATGATCCGACATATCCTTTGACCAACCCACTTGTACCAAACCTCGAGCCAAAGACAAATTTCTCCATGGGACCCACTTCCATGCACTTGCAGCAACACCGAACATCGACACCAACTCTCTCAGTTGCGAAGTCCCAATCATCTCGCGGGCAGCGCTAAATCGAGAGGAAATACCGTGAGGAATAGACACCTGGTGATGGAACGCCAGCTGCACGAGAGAATTTTGGACGCATCTAGAGCGGCAAAATCGCCTCGAAATTAGCTAGCCACCCGGCGCAGGCTGGTGAATCGGACAAACATGCGACGAGAGACGGAATGGGTGCGAAGGCATCGCGAAGCATCAGCAGCAACAGCGACACTTCAGGGTTGCGTCAGGCAGGACCTGCTGCTGCTTCGGCGTCGGTGGGCGACGAACTCCGCAAGGAGGCCCCCGGGACAAGTGGGGGGGATGATGCCGAGGTGGCAGGTATCGAGGGGAAATAGATCTGAGCTGGACCCCCCCCATGTGTGCGTCATATCTTCTTCCCCCTCGGGGTCGGGTCCAGGTGCACGGGTACAGGTCCACTTCTCCCGTGCCTGCGCGGACCCGACGACGATGTCCTCTGGTTGGTGCAAGATCCTCGCTGCGTTCTCGCCGTTCCCAACGATGTTCCCAAGCACAGACTCCCCCACACACCCCTTGTGTGTATTGTCTCATTCTAGCGTCAACTTCAAGATTGATTTGATTGCTCTACTTTGAAGTAGTATGATAAGGGGGAACAATAATATATTTATTTATTTTTCTGTACTACTTTGTAGAAATATTTAAAAAAAAATACCTTTTTTATTGTTGATTGTTTTTTGTTTTATTTTATTCATTAGAGGGAGCTATGTTTGATTCAAATGGCTTCCAATCAGAGAAAATCATTCCATAAATATAAAATTTGTATATATCTTTTATGTTTGTTATAAATTGGGAGACTAAAATAAATAAATAAGTATTGGCAAAGATTGTTGGTGGAATGGAGTTGTGGTAATCTACAAAATCATAGAACTATACAACTAGAGAATACTTGAAATAGTACAAAGATTAGAAATATGAGTGGAGTTTGTTTAATGATTCCTAATTTTAAGTTGCAAAAATGTGTGTATCCTTGGTAAGATCTATGTGAGAGTGCAAAGTAGAATTTAATTTCCATCTCTTCTCATAGCTTTGTAACCAATAGTTTGATCTCTTTGTGCTTGGAACACCATTTTTTTTTTAATTATTATTATCATTAAAACAACCATTCTTTTTGTACAAATTGTTTTCTTAGTGGTCAATATAGATCACACATAATCACACATGTGAAGTCATGAAACTAAGTTATTGCAAGTTATGTGTGATTGGAATACTTAACTTGCAATTACATAAATATTTGTATTGGATTATCAACCGAAATATGGTGGTAAGACTATTAACGTAAAAACGTTACTAAATACAAACAATTGACATTGTTTGCAACCGCATGGGCAAACTTACTTATGTAGTTTTTAGATTTAATTTTTTTGTTTACACTACTTGTGTTATTTTTTAACATCAAATCTGAAAAACAAATTGACAAAATACTTTAGCAATAAGGATTGTGTATTTGAAAACAATGCATTCTTTTTCTTCCATTTCTATTGGACGTGTAGACATCTCTGAGTAATATAACAAAATAATAATAATAATAATAATAATAATAAAATGCAAATTTAATACATGATTTACATTCATGCAAATAAATGCTAAACTTTGTATTGGCTTTTAAAATAGAATTTCCAAAGCTAGAAGGATTCACAAGTCCAGTTGTGTAGCATTTTTTATTTTAACTTTATTTTAATATTTTATAATAGAGAATTATAGGTTTGTATCTAGTACATTATTTACAATGTTTTACTACATGCTTGTTATAATAAAAATCAACAAGGACCTTGCCCAAGGGAGGGAGGGTGCGGAAATGAGTATCAGGGGATGGTGACCGTGCCAGGGCGGGTATAAATTAGGGCTCACTGCTGCATTGAAGTCCAGCAGGGCCAACGCTTTCTTCCACGTGTGACGTAATCTACCACGTGGGCATAGATTTTGTTAAACTAGATTAAATTAAATTAAATTTTAATTTTAATTTTTGTCTCTCGGTTGCCTACGTGGATGGGTGCCTTCCTACTAACCAGGCCAATTACGCAGCGGCACCACCCGATCCATATATTGGAGGACGACACGTGGATTTGCTTATTACTTGCTATGTCGTAGATGTCCCCAAAACAGCCTCCTCCGTGATTTATTTTTTCTATTTTAAAAAACATTTGTGCCCTAAATGATTCAAATAATTAATTAAAAGCTGTTAGTGTGAGCTTTGTGCTTGTTTGCTTCAATTTAAAAAATGCTTTTGTTGATATATTTCATGGAATCACACACAATGTTGTAACTTGATGTTGAAGCATTCTGTGTTTTAGTTTTTTAAAGTATTGTAACTTGTAGAAGTGAAGAAGTCTCCCATAATTGGTTTATAGCTTGAGAAAAGATGAGGTGGACTTCACTTTATTTTTACGTGACATGGATAGTGTTGTCCATTGGAATTTGTGATAGGCCCACCTCAAGATATGGTTACACAAAAATTTAAGAGCCCGTATCGAAGATTGCTAAGAATATTCATGAAAAGGTGTTTAAATTCAAATATTTGTATATTTGTCATAATTGCCACAATGAAGGCATGAATTTCCATATTTAGAATTGCAACAAAAAAATGATTTTGTCCTCCTCTTACATAATACTACCTCCAAAAGTCTTTACTTCCAAAAAAAAAGAAAAAAATAAAGAATTTTTCTATACTAAATAGAAAACCTTTATAAAGCTTTTAAATCATGGCCTTTCAAAGTGGGATTCTAGGTCCAAATATCCCCTTAGCCCATAATATCTTTGACCAAAAAAATATTGATTGTGTTTCCATTCATGTCTTGTCACCACTAAAAGTATAGTGGATTTATATCAACAATCACAATGATTAATTCACAAGAATAACTATAACAAAAAAACATAAACAGTTGATTAATAATAATAAATATTTGAAGTACTCAGGAATATAGATGAAATCTCTAAATCACAATCTAAAAACTGTTTATTGAAAGACGTCATCTACCAATTATCTTTTATTTAGCATTTTATAGATATACACATTATGCACAAGATTCTGCATGCCACATGTTGCGATAATTTATTTAAATAATGATTTACAAATAAGGTGTTATTCAATCAGTATACATTGATACTTGTTCAAACAAAAAAAAACCAAAAAAACAGGGAAAACAGGAAAAATACAACAAAATCATAAATGCATATTCAAACAAACATGCACGTGCTTTTACTCAATACACGAATTTTATGTGCAGCCCAATCATTCTTTTGTAAAAAAAGCAATGGGATGTATAGTTTTCACTACCCAGCAAACCAGAACTAGATATCCATTGCACAAAATTTTATCAATTTCTCATGAAAAGTATTATAAGATGCATGTGATTGAATCGATGACTAGCAAAAAGAAAAAGCTGTATGGAGCTGAAACAGAATGATCGATCCATGTTGTCTCCGATAAGCTTGATTGGCGATCAGAACTTGGTACAACTGATAAGAACTGATACACATTCACTCACAACTTACCGAATCGATCTGGGGCATGGAAGCAATTGGGTACTGTAACTACAGATTGCTCTCCCATGGCGCCATCAACTGGAGCTCCACGCGCCAAAAATCCACTGCATTGTCGAGCATCGAAGCTGAATACGTCGCCATGGCTACGACGGCATCTAAGCTTGTGTGGTTGCGCCTGCTCCTCCACGACCTACACTGCACCAAAATCTTAAAACAACCTACCCTCATTTACTGCGACAATCAATCCGCGCTCCCCTTCGTGGACACAACCAAGTTTCATTCCAGGACGAAACAAATCTCTATACGCTACCACTTCATATGACAACTGGCGGCTCACAACAAAGTCTTGTTACAATACTGCCCAACACACACTAAGCGCACGGACATTCTTACAAAATCACTCTCTGGCCCGAAGCTTGCCCAGCACTTACCCTTGCTTGGCCTGCGTGGAGGAGAAACCCCACCTTGACGATGATTTGGTTAAGCGGCCGTTTTGGAATCAAGATTAGATTTAACTAATTCATCCATAACGGCTAGAGAAGAATGAAACGTCGCATCCTGTCAAGGGGGCGCGACAATATCCGTCGCACCTCCCTTGATAGGATAAACATTGTACACACAATTATGATTACACTCAATTTTAACATTCTAATAAAAACTCTCAGATTCACCTTGTTCTAATACGTACGTGGTGCATATGCTTCGAGAAGTTGCACTTGCTGGTTGCATTGTGGGTCTGGCTTGGTAGGAAGCTCCGCAGTGCTTTGGATCCCAACACTAGCATCTCGTTTGCTCATTGCATAGGGTCCTCACTCACGGGACCATGTTGCAGCCATGGGTCTCGTCGAAGGTCTGCCCTGTGGACAACTTTCTTGACGTGAGCTTTAACATGACGATGGTCTTCTGGTTTTGGCTGCGATTCGTGGGGACATAGCTTGGTGAGTCACTGATCAGAAGCACGGAGTCAAGGTGTTCTCTAGCTTCATCCAAGTTGGGTAAGCGGCGGTCTACCGAGTGAGACCCCGACTGAGAGTCTACCATCATGTCGACGGATCTCACATCGCTGTGGTCAACATTGCGTACGCAACTATAATGCAGGAGAGCGAAGGCTTGCGCGGAACCGAATACGATCTGGTGTCGAATCCGCCATCTCAGACCTTCGGGGGCAATGAACTTCTCGGCGAGGTCCGGTAACATCTCCTTTGTGCAGATCTGAATGAGAAGTGTAACGGTGAGAGTATCAGATGTACATTGAGGACCATCGCTGCTGCAATCTTCTCTGCTGGCGATAAAAAGAAATGGTTGAAACTTAAGCTGAGAATTGCACTAAATTTTACTCGTACGAAAGCGGCCACAAGTCTTAGTAATATAAGATCATGTGGTATTTGCTCTGGAGCTCACATCGCCACTGATTCTAAATGCTGGAAAAACCACAACTAATCAGTTCCTCGTGTGAAACGAAGATTCTCATGTCGCTAGCAAGCTATCTGAGAGCCTTTTCAGAACTTGCATAGTGGTGCTCACAAGTAAATACTGTGTAAGCGTCTTTAACAGGAGAAAAAAAACAAAACAAAACAAAACAAACAAACAAATAAACAGTTTTTGTGTATCTTTATCATCTTTTTTTTAGCATCTTTTATTAAATACATCTTCAACATCTTCGACAGTTTTTGAGCATCTTCAACAGAAAACTGTAAATGTATTGGATGGCGACGTAAAAGAGCTCATTAGCCACACTGGATACAAGAGTCGTTCATCAGATATATATATATATATATATATATATACAAAGAATTAAGAATCACGAATTGATAAGAAGTGAAATGGTGGTGTAGTTCAAGTTTTTGTTTGTTTGTTTGTTTGTTTGTTTGTTTGTTTTGTTTTGTTTTGTTTTTTTTTTTTTTTTGGTTTTGTTTTAATTTAGATCAACTATTGTTCAATTTGCCTACCCCAAAAGGTATTAACTTGGAAATTATTTATACTCTTGAGTGAATAACAAATTTTTTTTAAGGTTAAATCCAATTTTTAAAAGTAAAATTGTCATAGTAATTGTGGATTTTTGAAGTACTACTCAAAATAGTTTATTAAAAAAAATTGACTATCAACACAACAGTTCAATATATTTTGAATGAAAGTAATTCTAGTTTTAAAAAATTAAACTATATGACTTGGTAATATATTAAGAAAAAAAAAAATGTGAAATGAAGAGGAAGAATTTTACCAAGTTTAGTTTTATGCTTTAAGATAAAATTCTTTAAAGTTTATATGTATATGTATATTATTCATTATTCTTTTTGAAACATACCACAATTATATAAAGTTTTAAAAATATATCCAAGAGAATATTTTGAATGTACATAAATATCATTTGACTAAAAGACAATGTTATCAAAGTAACTTCACAAATTATTTCTATTAAAAAATGTGTCATTTTATTGAGATTTTTAAAAATAAATTGTTATTAAAATCATATAATTTATCCTAAGTATTCTAAGACTTGTATATAAAAAAAATTAAAGATTGTAAAGGTATGAATACTATAATTCTAAAAAAGAATTAATTATATTACAGAGAAAATTTTTAAACCATTTATGTATTTTTTATATTCTCTTTATAATTACTTATACTTAAATGTTATTATTTTTATTTATTCTTTGTTTTTTACATCTTTTTTTAAGAATGGTCAAACATATTAAAAAATAAGCATAATTCTTGGTATGATACTTAAAACTTAGAGGGTTTTTGAAATGTTGATAAGATAAAATAAATTAAATCAAAATAAGTTAAAAATTCTAAAAGTATAAACTTCTAAAGAATGCTTTGGTAAAAAGATTTGATTAAATATCATAGACCACCAAACAATAATCTCAATTAGAATGATGAAACAATATTAAAGCTCTAAGAATGCAAAATATTCTGAAAGAAGGAAGTTTCTCAAAATATTTAAAAATATACTATGTATATAAACTATTAAAATCTTTAAAAAATATCTATAAAATAGTTAATTTTATTGTTTAGAATAATACTAAGTAAAATATGATTTCAAGGATGTTAATCATCATTAATATTCTTTTATGTGTACTTAAAATACTAAAAATATAAATAGGATATTGTAATAATATCTAAAATTTATGACACATCGATAAAGAAATAAAATGTGAAAACATAGTTTGTATTTATGTTATCTTAAAATATTGAAAACTATCTTATGTAAACTTTTTGGTACAATATTTAGCTCATTGAAGGTGGTAATGCTTAAAGATGGCCAAATGGCAAATCTTTACAATTAATTTTTTTAATAGAGTATCATATTGATTAATGATATACTAGAGTAGAAGATATGAAGAAACATTTATGAAAAATGTAATAAGTGAAAACATGGTTCTCAATAGAGTTAAACCATTATAAGATAAAATCAAATGGTATATTTATTAATTAAATATGTTTCTTAGATTTATTCTAATAACTTAGATTATTTTATTATAGAATTATATATATTTCTTTTTCTTTTTACTCCTTTGAATCTTTAGAGAGCAACCCAAGAAAATTTAAAATGGTACAATTTGACTTGGAATTTCACTATTAGTGACTTCAATATTCTAATTAGTTAATTAAATGGCTATGGTTTTTTAAGAGAGTGTTAAGTTTAAATTAGTGATAATTTTTTTTATATAAAATATTGTCTTAGTATAGTTATTATCTTTCCTTACAATAGATTTAAAATAAGTAGTAGATGCCACATAAAGTTGAAGATGATAAATTGTAAAATGGTGATGTTATTATATAACTATATTATAAGATGAAATAATCTTATTTTAAAATCTTAAATATAAGTATAATCCTCAAAAATTAAGCTAGTAGTTTAAAAAAATTAGAATTTAATAATATGCTAAATCAAATATATATATGTATATATATATATATATATATATATATATATTGCACCAAATATAATTAAATTTGATATATACATAAGTGATGACATGTTTTAAAAATCTAATTTTAGTGATATTTTAAAATAAAATTGTGATATATATGGTTTATAAAGAAGCTTTTAATATCTTAATCAAGTTGCAAGGATGTTCCATATATAAAACAATATTAAAATAAATAAATAAAAATGGAAAATAGTTTTTAAAGTCCAAAAAAATTTGCATATAAAAAATATGATCTTACAAGGAAATTTCTTTATGAACTCAATCATTTAAGTAACAAAATTATCATTACAAAATTGGAAAATTATAACAAGAAGAGTCTTTAATTTTAAAGAATAATCTAAATTTAAAACAAAAATTCAATATGTTGTTTGGTAATCATCCAATAAAATGTCCATCACAATTACAACTTATGGAAATTATACCATTTAAGAACAGATTACAAAAAAATAAAAAATTCAAGAAACAAAATTGGTGACAAACGTGACTGATCTATCTTCTAAAAGCTCCTGTTTGAAGTTCATGTTCAAATTTGAAGACCAAGAGAAAGCACAACTTATCATGAGTATAGAAAGACAACTTAAGAATATATGATCAAAATTTACATCTTAATCAGATTATTGTAATTAACTACGTGTGTCTAACTAATCGCTTCAAGGTTGAGAGAGAAGCAAACTGTGAATGGAGCCATAAATTACGAAACTTTGCACACACCACCACCTTCAAGCACATGAAGGTAGAGGTGTGGTATTAAAGCACCTGTTGAGGATGCTAGAATGATTCACCCTAAAACGAAGCTGAACTTGGAATGACTGAATAGACTGATTCAGATGAAAATAAAAGGCATGTCCATGTTTCATATGCTTAACTTGACACATTCGTAGACTTCAATAAGATAAATCAAAATGGACACAGCTTTTCAATGCTTCTGCATTTTGAGCGTTTCTCTGAACTGAGATACTCTATGGGACACTAGCAATATGGCGAGATATGTCTCACCAGTTTCCTAGGTCACAAAATATAACTCTTCATACGTAACAATTGCACAATTTAGAAGTTACTGGTAATCCTCATCAAATGTAAAAAGTTTCATAAAACATTTTGTGTCACCTACAATATTCCAAGCTTTGGGTAGAATGAACGGTACATCTGCTACGGTATAACCCCAAGATAATGAACCAAATATAGATGCGTTAGGAGATGAAACCTGCAACCGACGCAGCAAGAATCAGAAGGCCTTGCGCAAGGAAATGGACAAACCCAGAATGACCTAACCATATATGCCTCAAATAGATGGCATATTGATCAAGGGTTGTGCTGCCAATTTATGTGAATCTGGTAAGAAAGCGAAAGATGTCCCTATAATGAAGGAATCTGAATGAATGAACTGTTAATTCTGCACTACCTGTGTTGATTCAAGTATATATCTCTTCTAAAGTCCATACCCTAACGACAAACTTGAGCAAATTGACTTGACCTACTGCAATACTGGAAGCCTCAATATGTTACAAAAATATGACTGCAAGTAAGACCTGATGGTATTTACAAATAAGATATAAAGAGAGGGGTCTTGTCATATCCAGAAAAAGATGTGACTGATACTGCAGGTGCATCCATGGCACCGGACAGCCATCAGTATCTGTTCAAGCCATACTGCATTTAACAAATTAAAAATCGTCAAAAACCACCGTGAAGAATCTTTTTAACCTGAGAGCTACAATCTCTAAGAGAAATTTCAATAAATGTTCTCAAAAACCAATCACAAGGATAACGAAACCTGAACAAGAAACAGAGATATGCATCATCTTCGTCCTAATAATTACAGGAGAACATACACAATCCCAAAGTTTGAACTGCTTCTAAAGAGAAGGAAAGGACAAACCTGCAAGAGGGGAACGTGGTAAGGAGTTGCTTGAGCCTCTGCAATACGTCTACGGAGGTCCTCAAACTTCTTACCCTCAGCTTCAGCGTGCTCTGCTTCCTTTCCACTCTCTCCTGAGTCCCGGAACATATCTGAACGAGAAGAAGACCATCATCGAAAAAAAAGAAAAAAAAGAGAGAGAGAGAGAGAGCAGAAAAAGAAAAAAGAAAGAAAGAGAAGGATCTGTTCCAAGTCTTTGAAACAAGAAAAGTAGCAGAATAATATACCAACTTCACTTAACATCAATTTACAAGTGAAGAGGTGCGAGACTAACCTCTGAGCTCAGACAGGACCGTCACTTGAGTTGGTATATCATGAAGTGACTTCGCCAGAGTGAAAGAAGATTTAAGAATATCACGGGCCTGAGTTGTGTCATGCATGGCAATAGCCAGGCTACCAAGAACCGTTAAATACTGGGAGACTAACTGATGGTTACCCAGTTGCTTGTGAGTAATTTTTAGACCAGTTGCTAATCGTGTCCTGCAACCAAAGCAGATGTCCTCATGCAATGTAAATCATGAAAGCTAGCAGAAATGAAGATTTAAAACTAACCAAGCCAAAGCTGTGAAGTATACCGAGCTTCTTGCAGATTCTGTTGCTTTTTCTGTAGGACACCCGATGCAAAAAGAACCAGGGTTTTCTCCCGCACCCCTAAATACGAATCCATGTTTCGATAAACAGGAGCTATGAGGTCCAATGCCTGCAATTACACTCATTATCAGTCTATCCAATATCTAGAATGAAGTAATAACACAAAAGAGTAACGATGAGGCTTCTCAGCTTATGCATGCCAGTAGAATTTTCGAATCAAAATAGACTCATAGAATACTCGTCCTTAAACCACATAGAATTAAGTACAAAGACACAATATAAGCAGTTCGCGCATGAAACTAAAACTTTATGCGATATTATCAGAACACTCAACCGTAGTCGACTTACATGCGAGGATGAATCTTGGTCATCTAAACAGATATACGATATTGCAGCATTCACTTGACACATGGCTCGCAAACCCTGGTTATCTGTCAACTGCAGGCCCCACACGTAAAATATATCTTTAATACTTCTTTTTTCTCTCTCTTTTTTTTTACTTTTTAGTCCCTCTTAGTTTCGTAAAGCAGATAGTGAAAAATACTAGGAAGAATTACTTTAAGAATCAAAGTTGGAACTCAATAACTATACATCCTATTTCAAAGCAACCTCCAAGCTGAGGTGTCCGTCTGGATTATGAGGTTTTCCTCCAGACTCGTAGGAATTTAGACACTGAAAAGCAGAGAAGCAAACAAATATCATTTCGGGCGACACTGAAACACCGTTCACCTTGGATGCCTGTATGAAATGAAGAGCTGACTCATGGAAATAGCCCAAGGAATGTGCATAATGACCCAGAAGTACTTGAATATTGCTTTCATTGCCTTGAAGCATTGTTGGGAATCTCCTCTCCCATTCCACCAACTGAATTAAAGACTAGTGTTTCATATAGGCAAGTCGAATACAATTATTAGCAAACTTTTCTAACAAAATCACCACCTTAAGGTGGATCTTGGACTGAAACAGGGACTACATTGGTAAAAGCCTGGTTGCAAGAATCAAACCCTGACGATGTCAAATCTAAATCACAACAATGCATTAATAAAATCAGATATCCTTCGAGCAAAAAAGAGGTTCCCGTCTACACTGCAAGTGGCGTACCTTCTGGGCTCCAACATAATCAGCTTCGGTAAGATCAATTACTGCTTTGTTCTCAAGCAGCTGCGTCAACAATAACAAATAAACACCACCCGTCCACATTGCCCAGTGGTGCAACTCTGCCTCTGTTATACATAACAAAGTCAATCCCTGTCTTCTTCTTCCATAGTTCTCGGTCACAGTTAGGATTCCAACAGCTATACAAATCCATTCCTAGTAACGTAATCACACCATAGAACCAGTAACACAACATAATCGAAGAACGGGAAAATCAATCTTGAATATCGCAAGTCATTTGACAAGTAAACTTGGTAAATAGGTAGCATACCTGTTACCTGAGTTGTAATTCCAAGCTTCTCCAGTTCACCTTGTAAACAAACAAGATGCTAAAACAATCAGCAAATAAGAACAACCCCTTTAAAGGGGAATGGATCAAAAGACTTTTAATCACCTTGTAAAGCATTCACGGAACGCCATTTAGTGTGTAGTCTAAGCAAGCAACGTAGAGTTCCGTACCATTAACACGGTCCAACCCAGAGTTTATTCGTATTGTACAGTCTTTGAACGTGCCTTTGGGCCTTGAGCAAACAACGGACATGAGATCGACCAGAACAAGAACTGCAGCCTTGGGGATCCATTCCTCGTCCAATGGTGCGGGCCCCAATTGTAGTTTGCTTGGGTCTCCCTGTAGTGTTGCCACATGGTACCTGTGAACAAACTCTTAGATGACAAAATGGAAAGTAGCACCAGGCATTCAGGCAAAGGTATAGAACGATGATCAAATCTTCTACCACCCAGTATATGATGAATACAGCTACTGAGCAAAGTTTGCTGCCTCGTCAAGTGGACGATACTAGCTAATTCTTACTTCAACTGCTCATACTGGAAGAGCCGCTGCTGAATTAAGCCATAATGATATTGCAGATCCGCAGTCCGTTGTGACGAGGCGCCTGGAAGTTGTAGCTCCTTAATCAACCACTCAAATTGGTTCTGGAGCTCTTGATACACAAGAGGGTCAAATACCGGTTGTTGCACTGATACGGCCTGTTCCAACTCTCTTAGCGTTGTATCCAAATCGGTCACGCGGTCTTGTACTTCCTTATACTCACATGCCCGCAGAAGGAAAAAAATGTAAAGAAGTTCCTTGTAGACATGTAGACCTGCATGCGAGCGTTTCTACAAAGGCCAGGGGACAGCATGGTTTTTAAATCCAACAAATTAAGCAAATGTATCTCTAAAAATTACAAATAGCAGATGCAAAGTCAGAAATAAAATAAAAGTAAAGTAATAAATAAAAATAAAAATCTGAATCAAACAAAAATTAGCAATGTCATTCAAGATATGGTATTTTTCATGAGATAGTAATTAAAGCAAATAACTAATCCTCTCCCCGATAACAAATGCTTGAAGCTGAATCACCTTGCACAGAAATTTGACATATAATTAAATGAATATATACTGCATGGGCTTGGCACTATTAAAGCGAGGCTTACGAAACTTTATATAAGATAGTTATAATGAGCAACCATCTTCTATAAATAGACAAAATCCAGTTGTCATCCTACTTGAGGAAAAGAAAGACTAAAAAACATATCCCTTCAAAATGTTAAGACACAGAGAATGGGCACATCAGAAAAATATTTAAAACTACACGGATACTTGTTCTTACCAGATGCTGTGGAATTCTCTCGAACAACTGGTCACATTCAGCAAGACTTCGCTCTATGATAGCAGGATCCTCCCATTGCATCAGCTGAATGTGCAACCTAGCAGTTGCAAATACCATCTGGTGCAGCAACACTTTATCAAGCTCTTGATCTTATAAGTTCAAATTAAGTCACAATAAAGCCAGAAGGCTAAAGAGCTGTCAGGAAAGTGCCCGTGCAAGGTTGAACCACTATTCAGGCATATTGAAATACTAGAATGAGATCTACTGTGCAGTTCAGAGACTTTATCGTTGCAATTGTCAAGCCTAGGTAAGAACCTTAAAACGTGCAAGGAGGGAATCATTTAAATCACTATCAGCAATCTGAACACTCAATATAAAACGTTCATAAAACTGAGCACGGATCGCTATCGACAAAATATACCCACAAGGAGCTCACCTCGAGTTGAGGCTGATTCATGGCAGCAGCTAACCTAGAGCCGCTTTCTAACAATCGCAGTGCACCAGCATAATCATTCTCAGTGGTAAGAGCTTTTGCAAGTTGCAAAGTGAAGTTGCAGGCCCACAGTCGCCCGGACTCGCTGTCAAAACCAAGCATTATTAGGGAAGTTCATACTTCATCGCCATATATCTTGCTAAAGACATCATGCACTGAGGAATCCAACCCACAGCTACCACCCAGGGCGAGCAAGAGTAACTCAGAAGTCAGTAATTTTCTTCCAGTAAAAAACGAGTAATCTTCTCATTGCCCATGGTTGTATACATACCCAGTCGCTGCATTGGTGGAAAGCTCCAATCCTTTCTTCAAAGTCTGCTTCACAGCCGCAATAGTGCCCACAAGCTGATAGCATCGACTTAGCAGACTGTGAGCTCGAAATTTCAGCTCAAAACAAGTTGGAATTTGTTTCAATAACAATTGCTGCAACCAGAACAAAGCACAAACTGAAAGGGCCACTTAGAGCTTCGGATAAAAGACAGGCAGTCGGCTAATTCTTCAGGAAAAAACGTGTAGTCAAAAGCAAACAAACCTAAATTTTCAACTACTGCTACAGACCAATAGTTTTGAAATATGTCCTGTACTTGAGCCCCAATGCACAGATAGTTAAAGGGGCAGCACTCGACGACACCACTGACTTCGCCGAGACCTGACAAATAATTATTCGATCTAAACTGCCGTTCAGAAATATGAATAATTCATTATCCACGAACAAAACGAACTTTGCAAGTTTTAATTCCCTTCACCTCAAATATCACTCACCGAAACAGTAAAATGCGCAGCGTCAAAAAGCGAAATTATTTGAGACACAATTCCAGTCTCTAAGGTTCCATTTTCGAGCTTCACGAAAATTTATAAGAAAAATTACGCAAGAACTCACAAAAACTGCCTTACCCAATAGATGCACCAAAACACAAACCACCTACCGCTCGTTCAAGATGTGCCTTGGCGTGCGTGACATTATCAGTGTGCTCCAGAAGAAGAGTCGCAATTCGAAGGCGTGTCTTCACTTCAATCACTGGCAGAAAAGACACCTGACTTTGACAAATCGCTTCCAAGCACTTCACAGCTTGCGCTATACACCCTTCTTTCTCGTGCGTTTCCGCCAACTCCCACAGTCCTTCCGCTATCGATTCCATCGCAGCTTCACCACAGCTGAAACCAATTGTGCAGACCTCCCTCCTACCACACAACCCTTGAAAAATTCCTGCCCTCCCAGCCACCGCTCACGCCATCGTCAACATCCTCATGAACCAAAACTCATCAAGACTGTCTCTCAATCCATGAGATTCTGCCGCGACTGCGGCGTTCGTCAGAGTCATGAAACGAAGCGAAGCTGAACGTCGTGCGCGAGGGGAGACAACAATGAACGGGATTGTAATCCGGAGTAAGCGTAGTAGGAGAATGGTGGCGAGAGGGGAGACGGAGTGAAACCCTAATGGCACGTAAGAAGAGAGCGAGCATGAGAATTATGTCCCTATTCCATGAAGCGTCGTGGGAATGGTCGTGGAGTTCGGAGTTGGGATTAGGTCTCGCTGCTGCTGCATTTTGTGCGAGGAGGAGGAAGATTGAGTCACCATGAGTCGCGTCGTCGGACATTCGAGCTCGCGACGCTCATGCCTTGACTAAGACTTGCACTCATTCTCTCTCGGCCTCTCTCCCTCCCTCTCTCGCTCCCTCGCCGTCGTCTCCCTCGCCGTCGTCTCCCTCGCCGTCGTCTGCCTCGCCGTTCTCCTTCCCTCCTCGCCGTCGTCTACATCGCCATTCCCCTTCCCCCAACCTCTACCGAACCACACTCCTTGCTCTACCGAACCTTCTCCGCGACCAGCTCCGGCTTGACGTGGCCACTGTGTTGGGGTTCGGGGAAACCTGTTTGCGAATCTCCTCGTTCATACTCATGCTTGTTTGCTCGAACAACGTGGCTTCTACATATGTTCAGTTACTTTATCTTTTACTTCAATTAATTTTTCTTTATCAAATATCAAATTTCTCCCATCTACATCCTTTATTTTTTTTAAATAAAAAAAATGAAATAATAAATTAAATTCAATAATAACAACAAAAAGAAAATAAATAGAAAAAGAAACAACCAAAATAGAAAAATGGCATTAATTTTTTTCACAAATATATATTATTTATTTATTTATTTAAGTATATATTCAAATACTTATTGGTTAAAATGGACCAAATAATTTTAGGTTTCCATTATATAATAAAAAATACAATAGATAAAACACATAGCACAAATTTCTACAATTATATCATAATTCTTGGAAAAAAATCATGTAATTTTAGTTTATTTATACAATATTTAAAATAAGACATAAACATCAAAATTTTCCATTAATAAGATTTTACAATTTTTCCTAATGATAATTTAGAATATTTTAAGTTGATAAAAAGGTAAGAAATTTGTGTTTATAAATTCAAAGCTAGTAAATTTGTACAATTCAACTTTTGAAAATAGTAATTTCTTTGAAAATAAATAGAAACAATAATAAAAATAAAATAATTTAATAATTTACCAAAAAATTTGAGCTGCAAAAGTTACTAAACAAATGTAATCAATGGATTTTGAAATCAACAAAATTTTACAGGAGATATAAGAATTAGAATAAGGATCTAAAATATTTTAAATATTATATTTACAGAACTATGGTGGTTTTAGATTGAACAAAAAAAATTAAATCTAAGATATAAGGTCATTCTTATAACCACTCATATTGGAACACAACATAAATTAAGAGTGCTTACAATATAAGATATTCATGTTTCTTAAGTAAATAGAATTAAGTAGAAGTATGTAGAAATATATTGGAAAGATAATATCTTATATAAGAAATTTTAAAGAACTTTCTTAAACACTAATTAGATATTGAGACTTTTAAACATATGTCAGGTGACTATTAAAAGATATGCCACAAATTTTTTATTTCAAAGAAGTAACCTATAACTAGGTGCTTGAGCCACAATTCTTGCAGTCTCTAGAAAGCAAGAATTGTGGCTCAAGCGCCTAGTTATAGGTTACTTCAAGACCTTCCTAATAGTTGGTATACATAGAGACAAGATTGAGGCCATATTTAACCTTGACAACACATTTCTTGTGTTTTTGGTTTTAGTTCAAAATTACCTAGTCTCTTTGTATTTGATAATAATTGTATTATTTATTTTCTATTTAATAACTATATTTATTTTTCTTACTTATTCTTTTTTTAGTAACACATAAGTATATTATCTTTTGGATTTTGTTGTAATACAAGTCCTTGAAAAAAACCATTTTTTAAAATAAATTCTTTACTTACTATTATTCTCAAATAATACTAACATAATTGCATTAAAGAGATTATATTCTATATTCAATTAAATTTTGGCATTTAAACATAGATACATATAGAAAGAAAGAACATCCTTGCTCATGTACATTAGTTGTTTGACCATCTAAATTATAGCATTACAGAATATTTTATATTATTATATTATTAAACAAAAAAAAATGCAACCAATTTATTTAGAAACCTTGTAATAATAATATGTACTAGATTTGATTAAACAAGACTATTACACATTGATTTCATTTTTTTCTAATTTTTATTTACATATATATATATATATATATATATATTTAATAAACTCAATAATTATAATAAATAGATTGTTTATATTATGCAAGTATAATATTTTCCTACTATAGTGCATAGCAAGAAGAGAACCTAATTGTTTTAAGCTAAAGAGAATATATTTTAGGCTATAATCATTTCTAAGTCGTTAGATCAACATCACTACATACAAAATGATAAATTTGTCATGGTAAAACAAACACAATTGAAAATGCATCAAAGAACAAATTTCAACTTAATTTTAAGGTTAAAATAATAATAATTATTATTTAAATTAATGAATGAAATAGAACTAATAAGCATTATTAATAAACAAGAATGATACATCTTCTAAGAACAATCAATAATGTTGTTCTAGCTCCATTTATATGACTTCATCTCCCTTCTCATTCAAGGCTACTCTATGCTCCTATCCTACCAAAACTTGCTTCAAAAATATATATCTCTTTAATCAATTGGTCCCATGGACTAAAATTTCATTGCTAATTGAAGTGCAAGCAAAAGCAACAAAATGAGGGTAATGTGACATTGCTTGATTATACCAAACAAACCATATCATTTCTTATGTAAAACAACTCAAGGGGATAAACCAACGGGATAGACTAGAGGAGACAAAAACCATCTCTAATTGGTTACATATCTCATTTTTTTCATCAAAAGTGAAGCAAATGTGGAGCAAAAGTGAAACAATAACTCAACTTTTGATCAATTAGAGATCAAAATCTACATATTGTCACTGCAGATTGCTGATAGTAGCACTTTGAGATCACTAGCAATAGAGCTCAAAAACTCCCAATTGAGGCTATGGAAAGCTGCCTTTCATGACTATTACATGAAATTATATTTTACATTTCAAATACTTTATTTTTTTTGTGGCTAATGACATGGGTTATTTGATGTGTGTTTAAAATATAAGGATATGGTGTATATTTTTTTATTTTTTTTTTGTGGCAAAGGCACCGGTTTCTACTAGTTTCTAATAAATGAGCATATTGGCAGTGAACTCACAGCTTGAATCCTCATGTTTGATCGAATAATATCGTGGAAGCTGAGATTCTGGTTGGAACTGGTGTCTTCGGCACATCAGAAAAAGCACATATCCACTGGAGAAGGGCAGGTGCTGAAACCCTAAATCTTTCAAGTCACGACTGGTTTTGCTCATCGTGATCATTTCACTCGCGAGAATCTCCGCCCAAGTGGGACCCTTTCTGGTAGTTTAACATTCATTACCGCGACTCTGAAGTGGGTTTTCAGTTTTTTGGGCTACGCTGCTTGCTTTTCAGTGGTCGTCGACTACGGGTTGCATTTCGACCTCAGCTGTGTCTTAGCGAAGGAATTGTTTTGTGATGGGCTTGGGACCTACATAAATCTCGTGGTTGTAGGTTTCGAGGAGGTCGTGTGATAGAGAGCATGAAAGGAATGCGTAGTCTTCAGCTGAGGTTCTTTGAAGCTACTGCGCCTGCTGCTTTGAAGCGTCTTCATGGAGAAAATGCGCTCACACATCTGCATCCCCGCTTATTGTGACGGGAGATTTGTCATTCTTGAGGGTTTGCAGGTGTGAGGTTTAAGGGTACTTGGCGGTTAATTGCGAGCTGTAGGTTATAGCGGCTGAGGTGAAGGCAATAGTGATGTGTAGGTGAGGAGTTTTGGACATTAAATGGGAGAGTAGAAGGTTTTGGCGTTGGCGGGGAGCGGACGCGGGATTCATTTGTGATGTTTTCGAGAGGTATAAGAGAGGATGAGTTTGCAAGTGGGTCGTATCTGAGAACCCCAACGTATGGTCCGGTCGAGCGCTCAGGGCTTAAGGGCGAGTTGGACAACAACAGAGGGTCGCATTTCCGAAGCAGAGAGGGTCGAGGAAGAGTATGAGTTCCTGTAGATAACGAAGTTGATCAGTGCATTGAATTTGGCATTGTTTTGCTTCAGGCAACGAAACTATGCACTTTCTTTCCATAAAATTAAGTTTTGTTACATTTAGTTTTTCTCAAGTACAATAGTGTTGAATTGATGTTTCATCATTCTTAAATACGATGATGTTTATTTATTTATTTTACTGGTTATTTTATCTTTGATGAGTCCGTTCTTTTCTTCCCAACATATCTTTGTTGCGGAGTTATTCGTTGAGTGTTTCAATGAGTTGGTTAATTTTGAGCGTCATAAGTTAGGAAGCGGGGAGAATCTCGAAGTGGTCTTTCTGGCTACTGTCTAAATTTGGGAAATGTACTGGAAGTAGAAACTGGGAGATGCCGGTACTAAAACGAGGACCTATAAACCTTTGCGAGGAAGGCGAAAAGGAAGCCATTTATAGGTCCGCAAATCCACTCCGACACTCCCACGAGCAAGGAAATTCATGCTGCCATTCTTGTAGGTAGCATGTCAGTACATATCTTTGCCCTTGCTTTTGAAGGACTCAGCATTCCTTCCACTATTTTCGACACTGTAAACCCACTGCCTCAATTTGACTTCCTCTTCTTGGCCATTGAATTTTTTTATTTACTGTTATACTGTACCCCATGCTTAAGCTCTTGCTCATTTAATGGAAACCCGAGAAGAATGAATACTGCTAGTTCCTAGTTTCTTGACTTTTTAAATCTGTGTAAATGATAATCTCTTCGAAGATTCTGCTAACATTACATGTGCTGCGTGTTATTGGATAGTTCATCAACTCGCAAATTTTCTCTGGTTTTCAGGGAAAGCATGGTCTAGGTCTTCGCATAACAATACGAGATGTTCACACCAAGCATAAACTGTTCTTAAGCTTCAAGCATGCAGCTCAATTCTCCACAATTTCGGGCCGCAAGTTTCGTAAACTTGTGGGTATATGGGTCAATGCAGGTACTGTGAAGGGAAGGAAAGGGGTTGTAAGAACATCAAACGTGGGACTAGAAACCCAAACTACCTGGTACCCTGGGACGGGAAGTGCTTCTTCAAAGGCAGCCATCAAGACCCAGATTGAATCCAATTCCTACCTCTGATCATCAACATAGCTTACAATGTAAGTATGAAGATCAACTCTAGAGAATAAAACTTAAAAAAATATGCACAAAGAAGATACAATTACCTTCTACTCAAACACAATGAATGTAGTAGAGGGAGTTACACAAGGGGAATGGGCGGAAGAAATGAACATCATTTCACTACATACAGTGCCAACAATCAATCCATTGAAGATCCATTGAAGGATATTACTTGCTACGATAAAGAAGGAAAAACATATAATATTAATATGGAGGGTACAAATGGAGGCACATGGGATTTCATCTGACTGTCTCTAGTCTTGTCTTAATTTCAGAATTAGTAATGTATTGAACAAATTCTCTTTTCTTTGTGAAATTAAATCTATTTGAACGATCGGCGACAAAGGGCTTCGATTGCTCATTCAATGTTGGTCCATGTTGATTTTCCTGGGAAGTTTAGATAACATTTATTCGAAACCCACAAATCAGAAACTCTTAAACTTTTATTAAGTGTAGAATACATATGACTTATGAATGCGTGACTTTTGTTTGCATTACAGAGGTGTACATCTCAACTTCATCAGCTTGAATGCTTCTGAAGATCTTGATGGCACAACCAAACGTTTTACACTTTTTCCTGCCAGGTGAATGCCAATCAGTACCTCCTGCAACCAAGGTCACAGCTTTAAGTAGCAGTAATTCCGGATAATATTGAGTTTGCCTAGTGTCTCCCATCATTCATGTACGTTGCAACAAGCTTTAGAAAGACATCGATATCAAAAACGGTACCAATGTAGCAGTACGAAACACGTTTGTACTGACGAAAAAGTTCACTATTAGGATCAACGGTGACTGCATCGAATTTCCCATGAGACTTTCTGTTCCAATGTACATGCTACAAAGGGCGAAATCATTCAGTGTCAATCCACACCAGCGTTTTAAACTATAAGAAGTCGACCGTGTCAGAAACATGCATGCATTCTTCCATTTCTGTTTGAAGGATTAATGGAAATCTGTCTACAACAGTATGACGAGTCCATTTCACTCGGCCAGTTATCACAGCTCTCCTGGGAAAAATCGAGAAATGAGGAAGAACATGTTAAAAAGGGTGATCGATTGTCCTTGAAGTGTCAAGCAACTTTGACCTGTGTCATCTGTTTGGATGAGGCCTATAGACCTGATAAAATTTGGTGAGTCATGACTGCTGGAAATTCAAGTTCATTGCACTTCATGTGATGTTGAATGACCCTACCATTGATTAGATGGTAGGTGAGTAAACACAACATTACGGTACCAGATTCAGTGGATTTGTGAGCTACGTGTAATACCTCTAGCTTTTCTTATCTTGCCCAAAAAGGTTCAAAAGCGTGAAGAATTCATGATTCCAAATGGCAGAAGGAATTCACAATCATTAAAGTAGTATAAACTAAAGTAGGCATAGCTAGTGTTAGATATATCCAGGAATGAAGCTTGCTGAGTGGTATTCCACGTAGTTCACTAATCCACTTACCGTGACCACCGTGGCAGTGAAAATTGTACCTTCCGTTAACAACATTATGAACATCAAGACTTCTCTACAAAAAAATTAGGTGTACTATGTGTTTTGATGGTTGACTTACCGATGGCGTTGTCTAATGGAACACTCAGAACTACAATTCAGGGTAGGTATACGTTCAAGTACCCATCCAAGTAGTGTACAACAACCGACAAGATTACAAAAAAAATTGGACACAGTTTGGCAATCAGCCAGACTCGGTGATCAAGACACTAAAGAACTCTTTCCAAATACAACTAAAACTACGTAATCAATAAAAAGAGGTAGTAACAAATGAGAATGCTAAGTCATAGTAGCAGATTGACTACAATCCAGCCAAAGGCGACACGGGATACTTGGAAAATTTGAACATTCAAAATCCAGTGATATTTACTGCTTGAGAGTTTACAAGGTTCTGCTTGGTGGTCGTCGTCTCTAAAATGTTAACCAGATTTTACAGCAAGTCGTGAGCAGCGGGTTCACTCTGCAACTAGACTAGTAGGCTGCAAACTGGGATTGAAGTGCCCCAGATTGTTAGCACGAAGAAACAATAACACCATCAAACAAAAGGGTATCAATCACACCCCAACCAGTCTGCACCAAAACTGGGGAGACTTGTCTAGCTATAAAAATCTACAACAGATGTACCTACACCCTGAGCAGCATACCGATTCCATACTTGCACCGAAAAACTGGTTATGCTCCAGACTGCATCCGTGAATTTTTCAGAACCGACAAGAAGTGCCCAGTCTCTGGACCTGATTCTTGCTCTTGAGCTTGACAGCGGCGAAGGCTTCACATAAGAGACTCTGAAAGCGCTCCAAGAAGAGAGCCCAAGCCTTCTCATCCATGTCTGTCAGACTAAGCGGCCCACCCATAAGATCCTTCGAATCTTCAGCATCATACACATTTTGTGCCACTTTCATGGCTGCGTACCCGCGAAGGCCCATTGCACGTGGCTTTTCAATCTGAGTATGAGAACGATACTTTCCGAGTTTCAGAGAGGTAGATCTCGAAGGCATTGACATGCGAGATAAAGAATAAGACTCGTCTTCGTTAGATAATGAAGTTGGAGAGTAGTCCGGTGGAAACCCCAGAGGAGAACGTGGCATGGGAGAAATTTCCAGAGTGCGAAAGCTTGAAAGCCCCATTTGCGGACTGGACTCTCCAAAATATGGAGACCACGAAGGGGAGGTTGGCACTGGAGACATGGATCTGTAGCCATTCGCAGGTGAGTAAGAACTGGGACGTTCATGCATATCAGGAAGCTTCAACGCAGGAACTTCATCGTGGACGTCCATGTCAAACTGGAAATCATCTGAGCAATCCTCTGCAAAACTGAATTCATCATAACCATCACTATCAGGACTAGATGATGATCCATCACAAACCCCCATTTTCGCTCGCACGCACACAATTTCAAGCTCACTGGCTTCTTCGTCGACGCCACATAGCTCCCGGGTCATCATACCACCGATTTCCGAGAGAGTCAACCCTGCTTCTGCTGCCAACTTCAGGAATGTCGTCGAAAGCACCAGCATGCGCAAACAAGCCTCCCGCAGTGTTGGAAGCTCTTTACGGAGTAAATTGCAATCTTTGATAGGGTCCAATTTTTCAATGTAATCCAGTTCTTCTTCTGAGAAGGGAATTGAAGCTTGAGGCCAATGAAGCCATTCGAAGTACGGTTCGTCTAGAGTTTCGGGAAGGCAAAGACCATGATCAATAGGAATAAGATCCATCTCCTCTCCAAACAGACTTTCAGTCTCAACATTCGTTTTCTTCACCAATATATTGCCTGCATGACGGTCGGTGTTGAACAAGCGAACATCAAGTATCCCTATGCGGTGTACAGAGGAGACAGGAAACCGGGAAGTACCATACTCATCTGCGGCAAAGTCGTGTCTCACAAACTGCTGAAATGAAGCTATTTTGGCACTACCTGGTTGCGAATGCCCCGCACCTACGTACTCTGCATTCACATTAAATATAGAGTGTGTTGCGTTCACCAGCGCTGTCACCGGCACCTTGGCAAAATTATCATGGTCTAAGAGGTAAGCTGCCACCTCCCTCAAACCAGTCTCTCCCACACGAATCGAAGGTTTCAGACCAGGTTGCCCTAATGCTCTGCCAGTGAACCCTTTCGGATTGTTAGGAGCGAAAGGTTCCTCATCAGTGGGTTTCACAATCGCAACATTTTCTCCAAAACAGTTTCGAAAATAGTATGCTCCACCCAGACCCCCTGAAGCAAGAACAGGTTGCACCCCAGCTTCGCTGCCTTTTGCTGCTTCTCGTACGAGTCGCTGGATTTTTTTGGAGTGTTTTAAGCCACCCACAATCTCGAACACGCTACTTTGACGAACGTCCCTGCTACTGGGTGACAAACACGGCGTTGAAGAACTCCGATAAATTCCTTTCCTGAGTAAAACAGGAGCATCGCTGCTAATCGCACTTAAATCCTTATCAAGAACATGATCGCCAAAAACCAACGTGCTTTGCTCTGTAGGGATGTTAAATGCAGCCTGAACTTTCTTCTTCACAGACTCGACCTTGTCAGCTCTGTCCAATTCAATGCCAAGTACGTTTCCTGAAACCCATCAAACTTCACATTACTTCCAAGTTATAACTTCAAACAGTTCGTTCTATGAAACCAACCCAGACTTCGTGACCTCCACGTAAGACCTATATCATCATGAGATAGAACAGTCTAATTCGAAAATAAGTCTACAAATACAGCACAAGACAACATCCTAATTTCTGCTAGACGAGCATTCCCATGCTAGGCGAATCGCAGACGCTGCTTCCTCTCACCTGCATAAGTTTGTACAAAAATACGTCGTCCTCCTACTTGGCGGCATGCATTTGGATGAACACCATTTCTGCCCACACTGTGGCCATTAACTGTATCCGCAACTGCCACAGGTTTCCGAACTTGCACTGGGCCTGGTGCATTGGGAGGCATACCTGAACCAGCCACAAAAAAGTTATCATTTAGTTCGAAAATCATTCCTGTTTACGCTTGCATCATTTCCTTCAATTATCCAGACTACAGAGATGACTCAAAATGAGAGCAGGCGCAATACTTCCTACACATAATTCAGAGTGATCATTCGGTTTGTCACTCCTACGTTAAGCCACAAGTAACACCTCTTACGTGCATAAGGCCTCAGCAGTCGACACTGCCAGAGAAAGATAAAATGCGTGTACTTAAAGCAAATACATCATATACATGTCTAAAAAATCATGTTCTGAAGCCGTTAATCTCAAAAGCACAAGGAAGTTAGGACGTGAAAGCTTAGCCACTAACATCACACCAAAGTTTTGAAACACAAACCGACTTGTATGTAACTGCTTCTTAGACCATGAATTAAATGAAATCAGAACAACGAATATAGGATTTTCATCACAGTACCAAGAGTTGGCAGAGATGCACTACGATCCCAAATGCATCAAAAGAAACGAGACATACATGCTGTAACCCTGTTTACCTGAATCTGACGCAGCGCCCAAACTGCCTCTCCTCAGATGCGTTCTCTCTTCTTGGTAAAGGAAGTTCTAATTGCTTCGTGCGATACGTTATCATCCAGTTGCGGAGCTTCAATTTGCCGTCCAGGCCACAGAATGAGCAATTGCTTGTATTTCCTTCGTAGATCTATAGCGCGCCTAAATTATAGCCATCGATTACCACGCCTAACCATCACAACGAAACTCACTGACACTTCGTAAAAATCCGCGCCGCCAGAGCTTGTTTAGGAAATCGATTGTGACGACCAAAACGGTCGCGGCGAGAGTCGACTACCGGCCCATAGCAAGGCTAGCATATCAAGAGTGCTTCTCCCTCAAAACTATCAGGGCTACAGATGATTTCTAGACACAGGGTAAGACCCTTGAAGAAAAGGGTGGTGCCGCCGCAATGCACTCAATCAAACTTCGATCCAAAATCACCTGTTGCTTCTTCACCTGGAAATGGGGCATTAGTAAAGCCAGAAGCCCCCGAGTTTCAAATACGCAAAATCACTCACGGAGCCCCTGCGAATGACCCGTGACCAACCCTTCCGCTACATTTGCAGAGCTTGAACTACAAGCCTTCTACCTGGAATTCCATCCTTCATTACCTATGCTCTTTCAAGACCGTGGCCACCACTCCAGAAAATCAGGGCTCTCGGTCAGGCACAATTTCGAACTATCATCGACTTGTCAAAGTAATTCCGCCGCCCAACGAAAGCAGAATCCCCCGGCCTTAAGTCTATCCTCGATGCACCCCGCCGCTCTTAAAGCCTCATTTGAAAACAAAATTTTACCCCCATGAACCACCACCGCGACCACAATGGCTCCTCACAATACAGCTGTCATGAAACGAGAAACACTCACCAACACTCAAGACATCGTACACATCGTACCTCGACCTCACAATGCTAACAGAGCACGACTAATTCCAATCGCCGCACACCGAACTGCTCGAAGACTTCAAAAAAGAACCGACACCCCAAATTGACCGGCACAGGGGGGGTTTAGGCCGGCAGGGCATCCACAAGGAATGCAAAATGGCGCCGCTCCGGAGAAGGCTTTACAGCGCGCACACAATGCCTCCAACAACCGCACCCAACACAAAATATGATTCGATCTGTGTACAAGGCGCGAAGGGCGACGGTTGATTCCAAACAACAGCACTCCCCCACTACCGCCACACACAACGAAGAAGAACTATTCGCAACTTCCAGGGATGGCACGCCAACACTCGGCTAATGACACACCATGGGGGCGAGGAACGCAAGCCAATGTGGTTGAGCCAACCGACTCCTGCAAAACCTTCGTCAGAAACAACTTGGAATGCGAAGACGAAAATGAATGTGCTCAACCTCCCAAGGGCAGTCTACCATGGCATCATCCCAGCAATTTGCTCCCAATCTCGACGGCAACAAGTGCAGAGACTCCGCGGAAAGCTCCCAAACCTAAAATCTTGGATGGGAAACGTTGCCCGAACAGAAAACGGGACGATCCCAGCTCTCGCAGCAGCTTCTAGAACCCAGTGTGTCACCTGCTGAATTTTACAGTGAGATAAAGATCTGTGCGCCATGTGGATCGTTAAAATTGATGAGGTGGGTCCCTGCTGGATGGGTGGTTTTTACGCCCTGAGGTGGCGTAACAGTTGTGTCGCCGAACTTTTGGTGTGGATTGATTCCTCGCTTTTTTGAGTAATTGCCAGTTCTAGTGTCGATGGAGGGCCTCAGGACGTGGTGTGCAGTTGGGGGGGGCTGTATGGATTGTGACCAGCTTTGGGCTTGGGAGCTTTCGTTCTGCAAGGTCGATTGATGGATGGAGACCTCGGTGGGTGCTAGAAGCAGTATGGCCACAATGCAGGGAGGTTTGGTGGTCCTCTCTTCGCAGGTGCGTTTTGAGTCCATTTCTGCATGGAATTGGGATATGTATTGGATTATCGCAATGTGGCTAGGAGTATTGATTTGTTGGTTTTTATCTCAATTTGTAGGATGGCGGGGATTCTTTTATTTTATTTTATTTTCTTTTTTCTTTTCCTTGGAATTGTTGCGATTTATTCACCGCTAGGTGGAAGTTGTATTCTGTTGAAAATACAGCTTCTCTATGATAATGTGTGTCGTGTGTGCTTGTTCGGTTCTTGTTCTTTTAAGACAAATTTCGAAAGACATTCGTTCTTTTTCCTCGTGGGGATGATTTTTGTCGCCGGATGATGTAGAATGAGTGCAAGAATCGAGAACTTTGCTATTCAATTGTTGCATCAGAGCAGTGTGTTTTGGATTGCTCACAAGTTAAATTCCACAGACGGACGGGCAATCCACCGCCACCCGGTTAGCGCAAGTCTCTTCTGCACCACATGCGAGTTTCAGCTCCTCGAAGTCACAATCTCGGGCCTCCTTGCGACCTCGTGCTGGACGCCTGCTCCGCAATGCGAGCTCCTGGAGCGAGTCGGCCCCCTCGCGACGGCCCCTCGATGTGGTGTGCAGTGGGCTGGGCGATTTTGCAGGAGACTTGCTGGGTATGGACCTTGACAAATGAGTTGAAGACGTCGAGAAGTATGGATCAATTGATGTATATGCTCCGGCTGAGGTGAAGGTCCAAACCCGCTACGAAGGCCGTCACTGTACACGCTTGAAAGGCGAAGAGTACCATTTTATGAATATCTCGGCGCGCGGCTTGGGTGATCCCGAGGCATACCTCACCAAAGTTCATGGCGTACGACCTGTAAGATGTCCTACCACTTTAAAATCAAAGACATTGAGAACGACAGTGATGCTTTTTCATTGAAAAATAAATAAATAAATAAAAAACTGCCAGAACAAATGGCTTTGGAACCAAATGGGTTGTGAATGGGTTGCATGGCACGATGATTTGCGTTCGAAATTTAGACCAGGTCTTCCAGTACATTTGATAGTGAGAGCCTCGATATAAGGATACACGAAGGTTCGTTACATTCTTGAATATGTATATTTTGAGACGCAATTATATTATCGTTCCGACGAATTGTCTAGAAAGGGCACTGGAACGATATTATAATTGCTGACACATTGATCTCTCAATGATCGCAATTCCTCCCAGGATGTGGTGGAGAAATATTTAGGACCAAGCGAAGCCTCGAAAATATGCACTGATACTCTGGAAAAATTTGAGGTCTCTGGTAGTGTATTTTGTGGAAATGTACACAAGTGGTCCGTTTCGGCGAATTCGGCACAAATTTGTAACCGCGAATTCGTTAACATCAAGAGTTCATTGGGAAATGGAAATTCTCCGAAATTGATGACAAGGAGTGCGTTACTTATAATACTTTAGCACTTTAAGTTATACGCATACTTGCAAGAAGGCAAGAATCTGCTAATTATCGAGTTCTGGAATTAATTAATAATCTTTGGTTCCCTGCAGCCCCACCTTGGGAAGCAAGCCATCGCTCGCTGGTATTTTCCACCAGAGATCGATTATCGCCTCTCTCTTCTGCCCAAGAATTGCAAGGAACTCGTTCGCTGGGTTGTGGAAGCGAAGGTAACCAACAGCGTCCTCCTCTCGTTGTGTGGGTGCTCGTGTTCTGGACCTACAGAACTAAGTGACGATTTATAGGATAATAGTCTGAAGAATTCTGATTCAGCTTGAAATTCAAACATAACTTAAAGAGGTTGCTCATACTGATAAGTTTTACTCAATCTTGATGTTACCATTGTGAACATGTCGGCAGGTGCTCTCGAAGTCAGAGTTACAGTTCCTTGCATTGCTCCCTGCCATTCGTCCCAACGTGAAGGTCATTGCAGAATGCGGAACCTGGTAACTTACCACTATGAATTTTTATTGAAGTGAGGGGATCACGACGTGTGTTCATAAAATACGTAAATGTGGCAGTGCGTACACGTGGGGTACGAGATCCTTTTATGGACTTCAGATATGTCACGCAGAAATCACGCTGATCTTCAAACAATCTCCGAACATCCTATCATTGCATCTAATGTACTTGTCCCCATTCTCCGGAATTTCAATATATCTTTGATGGCACCTGTGTGAATCACTTGAAGGCTATCGCTGGGAGTAATGGTAACAAATATCACATTTTGATCCTTCTCGGTGTTATAACTTCAATTGGACACGCGTTATGATTAAGGGTTAACACGCTTAGAGGGCTAGAGTGATAATTGCAGTGCTGTATTACTTGCAACTCTTCCACTAATTCTCTTAATTAGTGTGGGCTGTGTCAGTGTGATCGCAGCACTGGAGCTATTTCTCTTGCAAGGGAGAAAACCCATCGTATATTTCCAGTGGGTGCTTGTCTTAGACGATTGCTTGATCATGTAGACTGTTTTTGGATTGTAATCATCCCTCACTGAATCGTTTTGAATTTGTCTCAGGAGATAACACAAGTGGAGACCTCTGAAGGAAGCGGCAGGTTTTCAAGTCGCTCAGGAAGCGAACACAGTTCCTTCAGCTTGAGTTTTTTTCCAAACAAGCACTGTATTATTTGCCACCGATACTCTTACTGGCTATGAACATTTCCGGAACGCAAGTTCTTGGCTAATCTTTATCGAAGTCACTCTTTCTGGATTCCATTGAACAGAGTTAAATTTCAACGTCGCAGTCTTGTTGTGAAGATCTGCTTCAAATCTGAGGCTTCTTTGGTGAAAAAAATCAACATAAACAAAAATAACATATAAAAATAAACACACAGTAGTTGAAATGTGAAAAAATGTGATGTTTTAGTGATGCTAACACTGACATTCGTGTCTGAAGTTTGAAGCGACTTTGATTCATGCATTTAACCAAAGCTGAAGCAGAAGGTAACACAAACGCATTCCCAGTTTTTTCACCGACACTGTCTTGACATTGCTCCGAAAAATTTATTGCTTAAACCCAAGTTTCAACATGTAAGATATGTGTCACCCCTGAAGATCCGTACCTGGCTATTCTAACAAAGACAGAATGGTGATCATTATTACTTGCAGAATTGCATCACCCTAAAGCAAGCATGTAACCATTCAATGCTTGGATAGTTTGATCTTCCTCCTCCCATTGATGAAACCCAATTGCTTTGGGGTTGTTGAGTGGTCTTTGTGAAGCATGTGGTGGATAACTCTGGAAAATTTGAAATGTTAATAAACATTTTGGGTAGGGTTTGAATTCTTACAATAAAATTTGAAGAATTTTGTATATACAATATCTCTTTGTGTGTATAAATATGAATATATATATATATATATATATATATATAACTTAGTGTCTTTTGTGTCTATCAAAAAAATAAAACCAATTACTGATGATAATAATAATAATAATGGATGATAGAGAACTTGTCATTTTAAAATAATTTTATCCTCAAAAGAATGGAGAGTTTGTTACAAAAATATTTAATAAAACAGTTTAATAGGACAAGTGCAATAAGCATGTATTATGGTAATGCATTATTTATTGAATAATGAAGGTGAATAAATTTGTACCGTGCCATTTCATTTTCTAAAGTACCAGAAATTTAGCTATGTAAGATATTAAGAAGAATTATATTTAAGAATTTCATTGCAATAGTTAAAAAAATATATGTATATATATATATATATATATATATATATATGTATATGTAATTTATTAATCATATATAAAAAATAACAATTAAAATTATTTTTCCAAGAAACATTTGAAAGGTCAAGAGAGTAATTTTTATTTATTTATAACCAAATACATTATTTATACTTTAGAAGGTAAATGACATAAAAGTCATTCATATTGCAATACAATTGTTGAAATTTGATATCATTTCATAAAAATTGAATAATCTTTCTATTAATCAAATCTGAAAAAACTATATTGTTTATTGACATTTAGATTTTTTGTTCCATATATAAATATATATATAGAAAGAGAACAAAAAAGAGTTTGGTTTCTTAAAATATATATTATTTTGTTTATTATGTCCAAATGTATATACAACCTAAAATACATTACTCTACTAAAATAATATTTGTGTTTGAAAAAAAATCTCAATTTTGAAATCTTATAATTGGATAAAATTATTTTGCTTTATGCTTAGAAAAAATAGTCAAAGGCCACAACAAGGTTTTTAATATCTAAAATCCTATTTTAAAGTATCATAATTCAAAAGCCTTGATTTCAACAAAAAATCTTCTTTGGAACCTTTAATAAAATTTCATGAAAAATATATCATCATCTAATATATTTTCAGCTATATAAATTTTTATAAATTACATCTATTGATTTAGAAAATATAAATATACATAACTAAAAGTATTATATTCTTATATTTTATTCTTTTAATTAAATTAAATAGTATATTTTTACATACTATTATTTTCAAATATTTTATGTTTTACCAATTACTACCTAAAAAATCATTTTAACATGGATAATTTAATATGGATCTTGAATTTTTAAAAATTAAAAAAATAAATTATAAGTATCTATCAAAATTTTAAAACAAGAAATAGTAATAATTCTTTTTTTTTTTGTTTAAATACC